CTGGCTGGTGTGACTCAGTTGGTTGAACATTGTCCCATGCACGGAACGATTACTGGTTTGATTCCTGGTCAGGGCACATACCTGGGTTGCTGGTTTGATCTCTAGTCATAGTGTGTACAGTGAGCAACTGACTTCTTTGGATTCTGGACAGCATTTTTCTCTAAGGCTCCCCTGGCCCTCTCTAAGGCTCTGTCTGACCCTCACTTTAGACAGCGTTGCTTCTTTGTTTTTTATTGATGTCGTGTTTTTTGTGGTTTTGGGGGGTTTTTTTGGTTAATCCTTGCCCGGGGATATTTTTTCCATTGATTTTTAGGGAGAGTGGAAGACAGAGGGAAAGACAGGGAGAAACATCCATGTAAGAGAAACAACATCGATTGGTTGCCTCCTGCATGAGCCCTGACCAGGGCCCAGGCCAGGGAGGAGCCTGCAAACGAGGTTATCTGCCCTTGACTGGAATCGAACCCAGGATCCTTTGGTCTGCAGCCCAACGCTCTATCCACTGAGCCAAACCGGCTAGGGCCAGCATCCCTTCTTTGTAGTGAAATTTCTCTCCACCTTCAAGCTCAGCTCAACCGCAACCTGGACACGCCACAAAAAGCTCAAAGCCACTTACATTTTCTCACTTGATCCTACCAGCACCTTTTGGGTAGATATTATTACTTCATTTTTCACAGACAAGGAAACAGAGGCCAGAAATGATTTCACAGCTGAGAAAACTGAGGCCAGAAAGGGACTTGGCTAAAGTCTCGCAGTGAGATGGATATAATCACAGCTTCTACTTCGGCACTATGAACCCCTTTAGTTGTGACATGAATGCTGCTTTGACTTTCAGAGTTGGCCTGTGAGAAGTGACAACTCAAGACAGAAAGTGGCTTTCCCTCCTGCTCTCTCCTCCCTTCCTCTTCATGTCCCTAAACACCATCAGCAGTTTAGAAGACGTAATTGGCCACTTGTGGGGAGGAAGCACAGGCTTTGGGTGTAAGCTGTTGCCAGATTGCCGTTTCAATGAGGAAGCCACGTGCAATCACGTCTCTCACAGGGGTTGTGCAGAAACTGGGGAGTGAAGAAACCACTACAGCTTCCGAGCACTTCCCAAAGCTTCTCAAGAAAACTTACTGAGCACATATCCCAGGGTAGGACAACACTGTCATTACTGCCAATACTTTTCATTCCTGAGCCCATGGCAGACATAACCAAGGGATCCAGGACTCCTTTCTACCAGGCCAGAGAAATAGCCCATCTCAATGCAGCAATCCAGGCAACTGCAATCAATTAACTGGAGTTGGTGCACACCATCAAACCTATTTAATATTTCATGTTATTGCATACCATCCCTGCTGCTAGGAGATGCAGAGGTGAATAAAATATCATCTCTGCCCTCAAATCTGGAGGTAGGATATGGACATGGATTGAGAGGAGACAAACCTGTAAACACATATTTATAACCAGGTTAAGTACAAATGTATGGGGTTAAGTGTATGAACACAGTATTGTGGAAACACATACGATGCAATAACTAATTCTGCCTAGAAGTATGACACAGAGGTGGGTCTTGAAGAATGAATAGGAATTGAATAGGCCAAGCAAGGTGGGAAGGGTATTCCTGGCAAAGGGACTAACATATACTAATCTTGGGATCCAGGAAACTGGGACAGGTATGAGGAGATAGCCGATACTCAGAGTGGGAAGGACCATTTTCCTGCATCTCTCTAAAACCACAGATACATCATCATAAGGTGTGGTGAGGATTGAATAAGATAATGTGTGTAATGACCTTATATAGTGCCTGGTAATAAAGTCAGCTCTTACTGACATCTCCAGAATACTAAGGGGCATGAAATTGATCTTTAGCAGTTGAATCAGAATAGGTGTGAACTGGAGGAACATCATCTGACTTAAAACATTTTTATATGCTCCATGATAAAAAGACAAGTTTATATTAGAAGAGCTGGAAATATATATATACTAAAGGTGCACTCAGGGTGGAGGGGGGGGTCCCCTCAGCCCGGCCTGCGCCCTCTCGCAGTCTGGGAGCCCATCAGTAGGATATCCGTAGCACTGCCACGGAGGCAGGAGAGGCTCCTGACACTGCCGCTGCACTGGCCAGCCATGAGCCTGGCTTCTGGCTGAGTGGTGCTCCCCCTGTAGGAGCACACTGACCACCAGAGGGCAGCTCCTGCACTGAGCGTCTGCCCCCTAGTGGTCAGTGCATGTCATAGCAACCAGTCGTTCCTCTGTTCAGCCAATTTGCATTTTATCCTTTTATTATATAAGACTAGAGGCCCGGTGCACAAAAATTTGTGCACTCGGGGGGAAGGGGGGGTCCCTCAGCCCGGCCTGTGCCCTGTAGCAGTCTGGGACCCCTCGGGAGATAACAACCTGCTGGCTTAGCCCTGCTCCCAGGTGGCAGAGGGCAGGCCCAATCCCTAGGTGCAGCCCCTGGTTGGGCTCAGAGCAGGGCCGATTGGGGAGTTGGGGCGCTGCCCCCTATCATGCACAGAGCAGGGCGGATTGGGAGGTTGCGATGCCACCCTCAGTCATGCTCAGGGTAGGGCCAATTGGGGGGTTGGTGCACCGCCCCCTGTCACACTCAAGGCAGGGTTGATAGGGAGGTTGTGGCACCACCCCCTGTCACGCACAGAGCAGGGCTGATCAGGGGGTTGGGGCGCCACCCCCTGTCACGCACAGAGCAGGGCTGATCAGGGGGTTGGGGCGCTGCCCCCTGTCACGCACAGGGCAGGGCCCATCAGGGAGGTTGGGGCTCCGTACCCTGTCACGAACAGAGCAGGGCAGATAGGGAGGTTGTGGCTCCGCCCCTTGTCACACACAGAGCCGCAGGGCAATCAGGGGGTTTGGGTGCTGCCCCCTGTCACACTGATCTGGGTGCCGGGAGGCCTCTCGGCTCCACTGATCCCGGTGCTGGGAGGCATATTACGCTTTTACTATATAGGATAGAGGCCTGGTGCACGGGTGGGGGCCGGCTGGTTTGCCCTGAAGGGTGTCCTGGATCAGGGTGGGGGTCCCCACTGGGGTGCCTGGCCATCCTGGGTGAGGGGATGATGGCTGTTTGCAGCTGGTCACACACTCTTCAGGGTGGGGGTCCCCACTGGGGTGCCTGGCCAGTCTGGGTGAGGGGCTGAGGGCTGTTTTCAGGCTGGCGAGTGACCGAAGCTCCCAACCGCTCCTTTTTTTCTTTTTTTTTTTATTCTGGGCATGCTTTAGCTCTCAGGCTTGGCTCCAGCTCTTAGGCCTCCGCTGCTGAAAGCAGGTTTCAAACAATGTTGCGATCCTGCTGGCTGAAGCCCGAAGGACTAAAGCAGGTTTCTGGGGTTTTGTTTAGCTTCTATATTTGTAACATAGTTGCTTAGAGTTGCAGCTCAGAGGCCTGCAGCGGCAGGCGGGGAACATTGGAGTCCTCCATCACTGAAGCAAGCAAGCCTCATGTTTGCTTTAAGCTGCCTGGCTGCCTGCGGCCATCTTGGCTGGCAGTTAATTTGCATATCTCCCTGATTAGCCAATGGGAAGGGTAGCAGTCGTATGCTAATTACCATGTTTCTCTTTTATTAGATAGGATAATTCTAAGATTTCAGCTGGGTACTCCTCCCTCACTGTAGCTGACCTAACTGGGCCAAACTTTTGTGTAGGTGGTGGAGAGGGGAGGGAGCCAACCCATGGTTCCTCATGTTTCATGTGGAATTTCCTATCTTTAGGAAGACTACAAGGTGGCAAGGGTCCTATGAGGAGCAGGCCACCATTCAGTGCACAGTAAATAGCCAACATCTACTTATTCTGAGCGTGGGACTCTTCCTGGCTCCTGGGAAGTGGAGGATTGTCAAAAAGCCAGCAACAAGGCCACTTGCAGTTGTGGTGGCCAGAAATGGAGCCCCACCCACCCGCCCCCAACAATCAGGGCCTGCCTCCAGAAATCCAATCAGCTGCCACGTTGCCACCATCATTCCTGGCTCTGCTCCTCTCAGACCAGGCCCAGCCTCCTGAATTAGCACCCTTGGAGCCCCACAATTCCTTTCCTTACAGCACTTGCCACAGTTGAAATCATACCTGTATTAGTAGGATTCTTTGACGTCTCTCCCTCGCCATTCTAGAAACTACGGGGCCTGTTTCCTTCACTGCTGTGATTCCAGAGGTTCCCCAGCATGGACCCTGACCCATACAGGGTACTCAATAAATGCACTGAATGAGTGAAGAAGGGAGGAAGGCAGATAATACTGTTCTCTTTTACAGGCCATAAAACAGGCCTTCCGGCCCAATTCCTATCAAATACAGAGCCATAGCCTCCAAGGCCCTCCACCATCTCCTCCTCCTCCACTGTCTCTCCAACACACCTCAGAACCAGCTTCCGGCCCCCAAACAAGACTAATTTCCCAGGAAAAGATCCTAGGGCAGGAGTTCAGCAAGTGACAGCCTACTAGTAACAATAATAGCACCTACAGTGTGCCAGACACCGTTCTTCCACAGCAACACTTTGAGGCAGGCTCTTCACCATTTTAAAGGTGAAGACACTGGGCACAGGGAGGTACTGGTTTTGTCCAAGAGAGTAGCGGAGCCTAGGTAACAGAACGGAGTCAGTAAACAGAGCTCCAGGCTGCACCCTCACCCACGCGGAGTTACAGCGCAGAACATCTGCATGGGCAGCAGAAGTCCTGTGTTTCATCACTTGGGCCTCGAGGGCCCCACGTCCTCGTTCCCTCTTCTGCAGTCTATATGGCTAGTCTATATGGTTATTGGGAGGTGAAAGCACAGTTTAGTACAGTGCCCGGCACCCAGTGAACGATCAATAAATGTTAAATGCTGATGTTTTCCTTATTGTTCACCGGGGACTGGAGAGGAGGGCTGCAGGGCAGTATCCTTGTACCGTTTGCAGGTGAGGTCACCTGGGAGCTGGGCGCCCGCCCCCGTCAGCCCAGACAGGGCGGGGCGTGAGTAAGTGGATCTCAGGTCTTGCACACCCGCCCCCTCACCAGACTTTGAGCTGGAGACGCCCGCGCAGGCGCAGAAAGCCGCGTCATCTGCCTCGCGCCAGCTCGAATTGCACGCGCATGGAGCGCCCCGAGCGGAGCGCGAGCTCCGCGGGCGCACCCCGCAGCCGCCCCGCGGCGAAGGTGCTGTTCCGCGGCCCCGTGGGGCCCATCCTCTTCCTTGCCAACTTCGCCTTGGTCCTGCAGGGCCCGCTCACCACGCAGTACCTGTGGCACCGCTTCAGTGCCGACCTCGGCTACAATGGCACCCACGATAGAGGCGGCTGCAGCAACCACAGCGCGAACCCCATCATGCAGGTAGAAGCCGGGAGGTGGCACCGAGCGGGCCCTGAGCTAGCGCGAGGGGACAGACGAGGGGGCGGGGCGGGCGGGAAGGTGGGGCCTCCCAGGCGGTCATGGATATCGGGTGGTGGGCCTGCCCGATTACCGCAGTATGGAGGATGCGTAAAGTTCCTCTAGCTTTAAGAGTTAACAAAAGAGGGCCAAAAAAAAAGGAAGGGAAAAGGACCTAGGACCGTTTTCTATAACCCTCCTTCTAGTGCCAGTTTTTGAGAGCTGCACTGAAATTCTCTGGAGGGTAGGGCTCCAAAGAAAGTCCGCATCCCCGTCTCTCCCAGGATGGGGGTAGTTTCGAGGGAAGTGGGGGTGGAGGGAGCTCAGAGTGAGGAAGAACGCCCTGGTGAGACTCATGCCCCCACAGGAAGTGGAGACCCTCACCTCTCACTGGACCCTCTACATGAACGTGGGCGGCTTCCTGGTGGGGCTCTTCTCGTCCACCTTGCTGGGTGCTTGGAGTGACTGTGTGGGCCGTCGTCCCCTGCTGGTGCTGGCGTCGCTGGGCCTGCTGCTCCAGGCGCTGGTATCCATCCTTGTGGTGCAGCTGCAGCTACACGTTGGCTACTTCGTGCTGGGCCGCATCCTTTGTGCCTTCCTCGGCGACTTCAGTGGCCTCCTGGCTGCTGGCTTTGCCTCCGTGGCAGATGTCAGCTCTCACCGGAATCGAACCATCCGAATGGCCCTGCTGGAAGCATGCATCGGGGTGGCGGGGATGGTGGCGAGCCTCATTGGGGGCCACTGGCTCCAGGCCCAGGGTTACGCCAACCCCTTCTGGCTGGCCTTGGCCTTGCTGATATTCATGACTTTCTATGCTGCTTTCTGCTTTGGCGAGACTGTGATGGAGCCAAAACCTGCCCGGCTCTTCACGTTCCGTCACCACCGATCCATTGTCCAGCTCTACACGGCTCCGGCCCCGGACAAGTCCAGGAAGCACTTGGCCCTGTACTCACTGGTCATCTTTGTGGTGATCACTGTGCACTTTGGCGCCCAGGACATCCTGACCATCTATGAGCTGAGCAGACCCCTCTGCTGGGACTCCAAGCTGATTGGCTACGGCTCTGCAGCCAGACACCTCCCGTATTTCACCAGCCTGCTGGGCCTGTGGCTTATGCGATTCTGCCTGACGGACACCTGGGTGGCTGAGATTGGCTTGGCCTTTAACATCCTGGGGATGGTGGTCTTTGCGTTCGCTACCATCACACCCCTGATGTTCACAGGTAATGTGTGTGGGCTCAGGGACAGTTTATCCCAGAGGTGCTGGGTGAAGATTGGGGGACAGCCACTTGCTGGTTTATGCCTTTGGAAACATCGTTATGTTCCTAGCTTGCACTGGAAGACAGACAACTAAGAAACCTCATAAAAATGGCATCTTTTTAAAAATATATATATTTTTATTGATTTCAGAGAGGAAGGGAGAGAGAGAAAGAGAGAGAGAAACATCAATGATGAGAGAGAATCATTGATCAGCTGTCTCCTACACCCCCCCAACTAGGGATCAAGCCCACAACTTGGGCATATGCCCTGACTGGGAATCGAACCGTGACCTCCTGGTTCATTGGTCGTCGCTCAACCACTGAGCCGTGCCAGCTAGGCTGGCATTTTTGTTATACGTAAAATATTGAACTTCATTAGCCAAAGTAATTAATCCACATTATCAATCATAAATATTGTTAGTAAGACAGAGCAACGGACAAAAGTATGGCTCATGCACTAATTGCTTCATTCCTTGGCCTCCCATAGCCAATATTCATGATATTCTTAGACAAAGTCCATGCTATTACTGTCTTAATACTCACTTCTCTGATAATCACGGGACCTACCTCAAATATCCTTAGTCAGCTTCTTTGGGTGTTTTTAAAAGAGCCAGCCTTTCATACCACAGTTATCAAGTTCTTGCTTGCGTTAGTTCTTATGTTGGTGGGAGAGGGGCAGCTGGGAATGAGGAAGTTAACTTTCTTAAAGGGACAGATTTATTTTGATAAAGCTCTAAAGTTTAGAGTCTAAACTATGTAGTGTACAAAGTGAGCCATTCAGTAATCACAGATGTATTAACTTGGCTGCTTGCCTGGACAGTGAGGCTGAAGGGGACCAGGCACCTTTCTCTCCTGCCCACAGCATCTCCCATCGATTTGGTGCTGGGCTCAGAGATGATGAAGACGCTGTCATTGCTCTGGGGAGCCTCAGCAGAGTGGGATTTGGGAGCCTGACACCCAAAGGGGCCCTGTGGTGCCTCATCATATACCCACTCTGAAGGATCTACTATCCAATCGGGCAGCCATTTTCAACCTTTTTCATCTCATGGCACACATAAGCTAATTACTAAAATTCTGCGGCACACCAAAAAATGTATTTTTTGCCGATCTGACGACAAAAAAAAAATAGGTATAATTTTGATTCATTCATACTGGATGGCTGTTGTCATTTTTTTTTTATTTGACAGTCTAAGGGAAAATAGGTCATGCCCCTGACTACATAGTCAGGTATTGCATGTTTTAAAAATTCTTGTGGCATCATACCAGTGTGTCGTGGCACACTGGTTGAAAATTGCTGCTCTAGGGGCTTGCAGTTTTACTGAGGAGGCAATAGTCACACAAGGGAAAGAAATGGTTGTAAAGGAAATAGCGTACGCCTGTGAGTAACAAAATGCAAAGTGCAAAGGGACTTCCACTCACTATGTGCTTCCTATGCCATGCTCTTCATGGATGTTTTCTGATGTATCCATTTTCTAGGGCTGCTGTAACGAATTACCACAAATTTGGAGGCTTAAGACACAGAAATCTATTCTCTCACAGTTCTGGAGGCAAGAAGTCAAGAATCCATATCACTGGACCAAAATCAGAGTCAGGAGAGCCACATTCCTTTCATAGGTTCTAGGAGGGAATCCGTCCCTCATCCCTTCTGACTTCCGGGGGCTGCCAGCATTCCTTGGCTCCTGGCTGCATCACTGTGATCTCTGCCTCTGTGATTACATTGCCTCCTCATTTGTGTGCCTTTTCCATTCTGTCCGTGTCAAATTATTTAGGGCCCAACTTATCAGGTTGTCATCATCCAGGATCATCTCCTCATCTCAAGATTATTAACTTTATCTCGTTTTCTAAATAAGGCAATGTTTATAGATTCCAGGGATTAGGACCTCATATCTTGAGCCATTTTTCAGCCTCCTAATACTCCAGAATCATCCTGTGGGGAAGGCCTTGTTATCCTTTTACAGATGGGAGTCAGGCCCAGGCCACACAGTGATAACATCAGGTTTTGAACTCAGGACTGCCTCCAAAGTCCGGGCTTGTTTTATGTACCTTGCCATCTACCTACTATGTGGGTGTTACCCAATGGGACCACAAGAGGTGTTCTGACAAAAATGCCATTGGGTGGGAATCAGCATTTATTCATAAAAGAGGTAGCAGGTAGGCCAAAGCTTGAGAAGGGTAGTCTCCATTCCTCCTTAGTCATTGTGTCCTTCTCTATCAAGGAAGTTCTTCCTGTGTCTAACCTGAGTCCCATCTGGGGTGGTCTAGGAGCTCTGCTTACATCTTGGTTGGGCACCCCCCTCCCTAACCCCATCTTCCTGGTGTTTGTTTCTCCACAGGGTACGGGCTCCTCTTCCTGTCTTTAGTCATTACACCCATTGTCCGGGCCAAGCTCTCCAAGCTGGTGAGCAAGTCAGAGCAGGGTAAGTGTCATGGTCAACCAGCATCTGGTTCCTTGTGCCCAATATTCTCGGAACAAATTGCCCAGAGCTGGCAGAGGACCACAGTGCCTTGGCTTTTCAGACCACAGAGTTGGAATTTACAGTCAGCAGAGCACCATTTTGGTCTTTGGGTGACCCAAACGGAGGATTTGCCCTCTTCAGACCTCAGCTTTTCCATCTGTAAAATGGATGCGGTGATGCCAGCATGCCCTGCTTCACTGGGGTCAGAGCGTACAAGCTCAGAGGGAGTGAGCAACTTTGTGGTGTAGGTTTCATTGTCCCTAAGATGAGGAAGCCAAGGCCCAGAGGGTTAAATTGACTTTAAACTCAGGGTCACTCAGTAAGTGGTGGTGCTAGGATGCAAACCCAGGTCTGTTTTTAAGAGCAGCAGGTCTTGGGATCTGGGTTTTAGTCCTGGCTCTGTTACCCACTGGCTGTGTGATCTTAGGCAGGTCCCTTTTCCCTCTCTGGGACTGTTTCCTCATTTATATAAGAGTGTTGTTGTTTTTTTAATGTTTTTATTGATTTTAGAGAGGAAGGGAGAGGGAGAGAGAGAAACAATGATGAGAGAATCTGATCAGGCTGCCTCCTACATGCATTCTACTGGGGAACAAGCCTGAAAGCTGGGCATGTGTCCTGACCTGTGCACGGGATGATGCTCAGCCAACTGAGCACACTGGCCAGGGCAAGAGAGGTTTGTTCTTTTTTTTTTTTTAAATATATTTTATTGATTTTTTACAGAGAAGAAGGGAGAGAGATAGAGAGTCAGAAACATCGATGAGAGAGAAACATCCATCAGCTGCCTCCTGCACATCTCCTACTGGGGATGTGCCCGCAACCCAGGTACATGCCCTTGACCGGAATCGAACCTTGGACCCTTCAGTCCGCAGGCCGACGCTCTAGCCACTGAGCCAAACCGGTTCCGGCAAGAGAGGTTTGTTCTTGATGACATCTACAGGCCCTTCCAACTCTGATGGTCTGACAGTTTAATCTCAACTTCCGTTGGATTATTGCTCATTTCACAAAATTTGGGTTCTGCTGGCATAACTATCAAGAAGAGCTTTTCTCTGGCCTCTGGGTCTTCAGACCCCAGTCTAGAAACATCTGGCTCATCCACTTCTCCCCATCTGCCCTGGAAGGAGGACGTGGAGCCGACCAGGTGCTTTCACTCATTCACTCAATAAGCTTTTTATCCAGCACTTTCACTCTGCCCAGAGGTGCCAGGGGAACCAGAAAAAAGAACAGCCCTTACTAACTGGCTCCCTCCCGGGGCCAGGCCCTGTGATAGGAGCTTTACATGGGAATTCAGTGTTGCCACCAATCTCTGAAGTAGGTAGTATCCTTATGTAACAAAAAGGGTGCAAGAACCCAGAAGGTTAAGCACTTGTTCAGTGACCACACAGCTAATGAGCGTTGGAACTGGGAATTAACCCCACGAGGAACCTCAAGCAGGATATGATTCTGAAGGGGTTAAAACAACAACCATTTTCCTCAGGCTTTTGCTCGAAGATAATCACATGTACTTTGGCTGCATGGATTTAACAACAGCCATTAGTTTCATAGCCCCTGTGTGCCAGGTGCTTTCCATGAATGGCCTCACTGAAACCTTATCACAACACATGACGTAGGCTTTACAGGTGAGGAGGGTGAGACTCCGAGAGATTCAGTGACGTGCCCCAGTTCGCACAGCTGCGAGGCAGTGGTGCCAGGATTTGAACCTACGTCTTCCAGACTCCACAGTGTGATATTTCTTTCTTCGCAGGTGCTCTCTTTTCTGCTGTGGCCTGTGTGAATGGCCTGGCCATGCTGATGGCCTCCAGCATCTTCAACTCGCTCTACCCAGCCACCCTGAACTTCATGAAGGGGTTTCCCTTCCTCCTGGGAGCTGGCCTCCTCTTCATCCCTGCCATTCTGATTGGGTAACTTAGGACTCTGTCCCAGGCCCCTGTGCTCTTTATCCCAAAGGTTCCCTCTTCCTCTTCCTGCCGACCAGAAATGGCTGCCTGGACCCCTTCCTGTGGGTGTTTCAGGCCCAGCCTGACTCTCCCCGTGCAGATGGCTGCCTAATCCTCTGGAGCCACTTTCCAAAGGCAGGACAGAGGGGCAGTAGGGCAAGGGTCAGGCAAACATTGCTTCTTGGCAAGGTTGGTCTCTTCCCTTCATCCCCCTCCATCCGCATTTTACGGATGGAACTATGGCGACAAATCTGCCAAAGGGAAGCCGGAGAGCCTCCTTGGCTGGTTGTGACTGGGCCACAGGCTAGCCTGCCTACTGACTTCTGCCCCCATAGCCTTCCGACTCATTTTCCAGAGCCCTCTTATCAAGACGTTGCCTTTCACCTCTCTGTTGGGAGCGGGGATACCTGTACTGGCCCACCCAACAAAGCCTGTGTCGCTTCTTCAGGAGTTGAAGAGGGTTCCCCCATATGTCAAATCTGAACCCTCTCTCTGGTCTCTTGCAGGATTCTTGGAAAGACTGAGCCTCGCTCTGAATTCCAGCAGTTTCCCCAGAGCCCCTGATCTGCCCAGATATGAGAACAGAGGGCAAGAGGGGCGAAGTGAGCACTAACCAGCTGGAAGTATGCCCCTGGGATCCCACCCACAGCAGCAGCAGCAGCAGCTCCCCTCAAAGGCAGTGTTCACCCTGGATAAGGTGGTCAAGCTAGACCAGGGCCCCCACCTCATCCAAAGCTTGCCAGCCTATGACTCGAGGATCTGGAATTGGAACCCAGACAGTCTGACTCCAGGGCAGGCAGTGGCGGGAGGAACATTTGCAACAGGGGTCTCTGTTCATCCTTTATGCAATTACATAAAACCCTCCAGGGGAGAGAGGAGGTCTTGATGGAGGTGATGCCTCAGGGACCAGTTGAAGCACGAGGGGTAGCATCTCTGCTTCCAACCCAGACTACACAGCTCACAGTTCATCGTGAGCAGCCACCAGCCATGCCTTAATGATGAATATTTCGAGGGGAGGAAGGGTTGTGGGGATGGAGAGAGAGTGCTACGGACTCAGTGGAATCAAGCCCCTGGCTTAGCAGTGCCAACCATCATAATAAATCAGTACAAGCACACTGACATGAATCGTCTGGTACCCAAGGCATTGGGCTGTGGGCCCTTTATTTTCTGTCCCTTCTACCCCCATGAGTCACACAGCAGCTGCTGGGCTGGGCTGGGCAGAAGCCCTTGAGCTGCCATGGGATTGGTCCTGGGCGTGGCCAGCCCAGACCTCATCTGACTGCCCATTCTGTTCTCCTGAGCTGCTGGGAGATGAAGGGCTGCCAGACTTGCATCAAGCCAAGCAGGGAGGCTTGGAGCAGAGCCCTGGCCGCTCATTCTGAGGATTAGATCCGCTCCCTGAAGGCTCCAGTACTGGTCCCCCTGGCAACAACAGCCCAAGCAGAATTAGTTTTTATCACTCAGCCCTGCCAACACCTCCCATCGCCAGGTATTTCAGCCTGGCCTTGTGCTGAGACCGTCCCTCAGCCTGGATCTGAAGTTGAGAAGGCAAAATTGGATTTGATATTAAGGTACCATAATACCACCAGACCCAGATCAGGTGGTACTTGACTCTTCAAACCAGACTTGGCCACAGGGTCCAGCCCCCTAATGCCATTTCCACCCCATTCTCTCTTACCAGCCCTGCCAGTCAGTTTTCTGGCTGGAAATCACTCAAGTAAAATGGGTGTGTCCTAGGGCAAACCAAGGTCAATGTGGCCTTTACAGCCCAGGCCTGTCTCTAGATTCCCACCTCACTGTCCCCTCTGTCACTGGAAGACTGGAGCAAGAAGAGGACAATCCATTGATTGTCCCAGCATGAGGCAGGAGGGGGACGGGGGAGGAAGGCGCTGGGCTGGGCTCTACTCCAGCCACCGCCTGGTTCACGGGTGACCTTGAGCAAGCCCGTCTACGAAAGGCTAGATCTGATCATGGTTGGACAGGTTAGGAAACACTGGGTTAGAGGTAATATTCTGAGATCCTTTCTGCCTCATACGTTCTAGAATGAGATGCCTCTCTTCGTGGACCTGGGGGAAGGATAAATGAGTTGGAGCTGGACTTTCGATCTTTGAGTGTCCCTGAGCAGTTCTCAGTCCCTGGGGAGGCGTGGGATGAGGTGGGGTAGGGACCTAGTTGACTCAGCTCCAACGTGGGGACAGCAGCTACAGTCCAGCCAAGCAGAAAACCCTGGCGCTGGAGACGTGCGTCAGAGCAGGCTTTGGGGGAAAGGCTAATTCTCAGCTCTCTGCTTCAGGGCCAGCCCTGTGAGGCCAGGCCTAGGTGGAAGGTGGGGCCAAGGTGCCTGCCCTGTCACCGCAGGGAGGCAGTCCCGAGAACACACAGGCCTGGCTCGGGGGAGGGTCATCACTTCAGCTGCTGGCGGGTTTGGGGGGTGGGGAGGCTGAGCTCTGATTCCCCAGAGAGACAGGAGGGGCAGCACTGGAGGGTGTGCCAAACAGAAAAAACAGGGCTGGAAACCTCTCTGAGCACTGTCCATGGGGGACCTCAGGAGGAAGTGGGATTGGGACAAAAAGACAGAAAGCTCCTGGAGGGTATTCCCCACACTGTATTGTTACTGTCTCTGCTCTGTGAGCGCAATGTCTAATCTGCCTTAGTCACCATCAGAGCCAGGGCCCGGCAGCGGTGGGCCCCCTGTTGGCATGAACGAGGAAGTGCTGTCAAAGCCAGAGTTGGGGCTAGGGCCAGCTAAACAGTGTCTTTGGCAGGGAGGGGAGTGGGAGAAGTACCGAGGGAGGAGTGAGACCTTTGACTTCCTGACCATGTGGCTCAAGAGCTAAGAGTGGCCTGGCCAGCACCTGCAGGAGGCACTCTGGGAGCTGAGCCAGACTTGAGGTGCGAACACGCTACTCAAGAGGGAAGAGGCAGGCCTGGTTAGCTGGAGCCTTCCTACCCTCCTGGAGGAAGGGGCAGAGAGGTGTTCCTGCTCATTTATTTCCATAGAGCCCCTCGGTCAAAAAACCTATCCCCACTTCTAGATTCTTTGGGGCGAGGAAGAAGCCAGCTGTCTGTGGAGCGGCAGCCCAGCCGGGTCTCAGCCTCCAGCATGATTCTCCGGAGGGCAGTGCCACCAGCAGTGGGCTGAGCACCAGGAGGCCAGGTCTGCCACTGGGCTGGCACCTGGGCTGCCACTCATGGCTTAGAAAATGGTACATCATCTGACTCCTCTGTAAAACAGAGATAACACCGGGTAACGTAAAATGGCTCTGATGATTGCGGAGACCATGGAGCAGGGTGCCGGGGAGCTGGTAAAGGGGGGTGAGGGGTTTGTATTTCAGAGCCTGGCTACTTAAAGTGTCATTTCTTGACCACCATCATGGGCTCACCTGGGAATCAAAAAATGCAGAAGTCCAGGCCCCACCCCAGGTCACCTGAATGGAATTGTAACAAAATTCCCAGGTGGTTTGAATGTACCCCCTGCCCTTCCTCAGGACACTGCCTCCTCCTAAGGAGCTGCAGGCTCTGCCCAGGCTACTGCTGGGAGGGGCTGGGGAGGCCAGCTGAGCCAGGGTGGGCAGGAGCCTGAGGCACAGCACCAAGGCATGGGAGGGTGGCTGGCAGCCCTTTGAGACATGGCCGCCCCTGCCCAGGCCCGAGCAGGGAGTGCCATGACCTGTGAGTGCTTCAAACCCAGCCGTAGCTGCAAAGCAGCCAGAGGAGGGGCTGGCTCAGCCCAATCCAGACCCAGGATGTGGTGAGAGAGGCTGTGCCTCAGGGAGGCTAGGAGGGGACTTGGGACCAGACCAGGTCAGCTAAGGACACTGAGTGATTTCAGGGCAAGGCCACAGGGTGGCAGGAAGTGGTGAACCTGGGGACCAGCACAGTGTAGGTGGAGAGCCACCAGTGGACTTTATCCCTGCTGGTTCCCAGGCCCAGGCCGCTGGGCTGGGAGGGCTGGGCATTGCCTTAATTCCTGTCAGAGGCTGCCTGACATCCCCTACTCAAGCTGGCTGATGTCAGGGCAGGAGAGGGGGTTGTGTGCAGCAAACCCTCGCTCTTCAGTGTCTCCAGAACTGATCTGTGACCCTCCCACACCTGAGACAGAGAACCTGGTGGCAGGGCTTAAGGGTGGTCTAACCCTTACCCAATGCCTCGCTTCCCCTTCTGGATACTGAGGAAGCTGGGTTTGAGGTGGCCCATGGGGGTCTGGGAGAGGGAGAGCCATTTCCTGAGAAGGGCCCAGGCTGTCTCAGCCCAGGGAGGCCGGTGTGCGGAGCTGCTCCTTCCAGGGAGACCATGGAAATGGGGGTCACAGCAGGACGTGGGGACTAGGGACTGGTTAAGTTGGGCCCATGGGTGTAACACCCTCCAAACTGGTGTCAGAGCCTGCAGACGAGTCCCGGGAGGAGCGGCCCTGCAGGAAGCGGATGATCTTCTCAATGGTGGCCTCCTGGTACTCGTGGGACCACCTGTGGGCACAGAGACCGGCGGGTCAGAGGGCCGGGAAGAGGGAACTGCTGGCTGGGTGCCTGTGTACCCACCACCCCCTTCTCACTTGATGCCGTTGAAGCTGAGCACGGCCTGCATGTCCTCGGGCAGGGCCTGCGGTTCTGGCCACTCGAAGCCATCGATGACGGGCACAATGTTCTTGCCACAGCTCAAAGCCGTCACGATCTCCTGGAGAAAGGAGGGAGGAGGAAGAGATCAGGGTCCCCTCAAGTCCACCTGACTTCTCGCTCGCCCTTTGTGGTAGAATAAACAGTATTTGGTCTTTGTCCTCAGTTCTTAGCACAGAGCTCTTCTAACCTCCAGATACCTGGGAGAAGGTGCCTAGATAGCTTCAGGATGGGGACTGGTGGGAGGGGGGGGAGTCAAGGTCTGATTAGAGGGTTGGAACTTACAGCTCCCTTGCCCCAACACACCCCCAGGGAGGGGAGGGGGGATGGAGATTGAGTTCATTCACCAACAGCCAATGACTTAATCATAGCCACATAATAAAACCTCCATCAGAGCCCCTAAACATGGGTTGAGCACATCTAGGTGCTGGGAGAGCGTCCTGGAGAGGACGCGGGAGCTCTGGGCCTCGCCTGCCTGCGTCCCCACCCCCTACCTCGCCCTCATATCCTTTATAAAAATCCAGTAGGTAAAGTGCTTTCCTGAGCTCTTCACATCATTTTAGAAAATTATTGAACCTGGTGTGGAGAGTCATGGGAACCCCTGAGTTTGTAGCCAAGTCAGAAGTGTGGGTAGCCTGGGAACCTGGGACTTTCGACTGGCATCTGAAGTGAGGGCAGACTTGTGGGACAGAGCCCTTCTACCTGCAGAGTCTGACACTCCCTGTGGGTAGTTAGTATCAGAATTGAATTGAATTGTGGGACACCCAATTGGTGGTGAGTTGGAGAACTGGTTATTGGTGTGGGAATAAACCCACACAATTTGGTGTCAGAAGAAAAACATCACAGCCCCCTGCATCCAAATCAATCCATCACAAGCCCTGCAAAGCATGCTCGTTTTTCTTTCTTACTTTTCAAATCCACCCGTTTTCCTCTCCCTGTACCCCACCACTCCCCTGCTCCATCCTCCTCGCTCATCCTCATCCTCCTCCAGGTCTGTTCGCATCCATTTCTTGCTCCCTTCTGATTTGCTCTCTATGTTGCCCCTTCACCCAGCTACTCTGCAAAATGCAAATTTGAGCATGTCACTCCTTACTTAAAACTCCCCAGGACTTTACATGGCTCAGAAAAGAAGTTCAAACTCCTTCATGTCTGAAGGTCGTGCGTGGCTGGCCACAGCTCACTTCTCAAACTCCATGTCTGCACTGTCCTCCCGGCTACACAGACCTTGCAGTCCCTTAGATTTGCCCTCCTCCCTCCCTGCACAGGGCCTTTGCACATGCTGTTTCCTCTGTCTGGAATGCTCTTCCCTGCCTCTTCACTGTATTAATGCCGACTCATTTTTCTGATCTGCAGCCAGGGAAGTCTTCCCTCACTTTCCTGACCAGGTCAGATTCCCCTATTATAGGCTCTCATAGCTTCTGCAGCACATGCTAGAGTTGCAAACTTAAGTTAATTAATGAGTAATTTACTTAATATCTGTCTTCCCTAGCAGATAAAAGGGCAGGGATGAGGTTATATCTCAGTATCTCCCGCAAAGCCATGCCCATAGTCAACCCTTGCTTAATACTTAATGGATGGCTGGATGAATAAATGAATGATACAACATAGCATAGCAGTTAGGGAGCGTACTCTAGAATTATCAGATCTGGGTTCACATTGAGTCTACCACACAGACTTTGTGACCTGAGGCAAAAACAGCTGGCTCTCAAAGCCTCTGTTTTCTCATATATAAAATAGGGTTGCCCTGACCCGTGTGCTCAGTGGTTAGAGCAGGGGTGGGCAAACTTTTTGACTCGAGGGCCACAATGGGTTCTTAAACTGGACCGGAGGGCCGGAACAAAAGCATGGATGGAGTGTTTGTGTGAACTAATATAAATTCAAAGTAAACATCATTACATAAAAGGGTACGGTCTTTTTTTTTTTTTTTTTAGTTTTATTCATTTCAAATGGGCCGGATCCGGCCCGTGGGCCGTAGTTTGCCCACGGCTGGGTTAGAATGTCAGCCCACACACCAAAGGATTGCGGGTTCAATTCCTGGTCAAGGGTAGTACCTGGGTTGCAGGATCCCTAGTTCCACACATGGAGCTTGTGCGGAAGGCAACCCATCGGTGTGTTTCTCTCACATCGATGTCTCTCTCTCACTCCCCCTCCCTTCCACTCTCTAAAAATCAATGGAAAAATATCCTCAGGTGAGGATTAACAACAACAAAAGAGGGTTAATGACAGTCCCTATCTTGTAGGATCACCGGAAGGAATAACTACCATATCCCATGGCAAGTGGTTAGAACAGCTCCCAGCATGTAGTGCGCTTAATAAATAATAAATGCTATTATTTCCTCCTCGGTAAAGGGGATAACAAGCCTACTTCACAAGGTTGCTCTGAGAATATTACTTACTATTAATGGGTGCTCTGGTAAGTGCTTATTGGATGGGTTTTTCCCTTTGAAAAGGGAACCACAGGGATTGGATTTCCCTGAGTGCAGTTCACTTGTGGTTTTCCATATTGATTACCCACCAAATGCGGCTTCGGGGAAAGGAGTCTTAAAACCAAAGGCAATTAAGCTCTAAAAACTACCAAGGAGCGATGATGGAGCCTTTGTTACTGGTCCAAGGCAAAGGCTCCCACCTCCTGCCTCCCGCCGCCCTCCTCCCTCCTCCCTCCTCCCTCCTCCCTCCTTGCAGTCTGCTGGGTGCCAAGACCCTTGAGCACAGCCTTCCTGGGAAAGTCCCTGCTTAACTTCAACCCTGACCGACTCCTGGGGAACCTCTCCATTGCACAAATGAGAAGAAGGTTTGTGTTCTTAATTCCTTTGTGCCTCTCACTCTGCTCCCCTGCCCTCTTCCCTCCTGGAGGTTATATTTCAAAGTGTTTTCATCTCTCTCTGACCCTCGCAACAATCCTACAAAGTGAATAGGACAGGTAAGTTACCCCCATTTTGTAGATGAGAGGCATGGGTCCAGAGAGCCTAAGTGACTTGCTGGAGTCCTGTTACAGTCGGAGCTGTGACTCCTGACTTCCAGCTGGGCCATGGAGGTTGCTGGGATGTGCAGATGAGAAGGAACAGGAGACCCTTGTCCCTGGGCCACAGAGAGGGACCAGAGAGGCCAGCACCTACCTTGTGCACCCAGTCCTTGCAGTCATGGTCCTGCATGCACTTGTCCAGGGCCCCGGCTGACAGCACCAGCACAAAGTTGCGGGCACCCATGACACTCTGGATGAGCTTGTCCTCAAACTTGCCGGCTTCCAGTTTCTCCACATCAATGAAGACATTGAAGCCATGCAGCTGCAGGTGCACCTTCAGGAGGCTGCGAAGAGGCCATTTGTCACTGTGCTGGCCTCACCCAAAGGCCTGAGGCTGCCTGCCTGCCCCCTCCTCCTCACCTGGCCAGCTGGGAGCCTGAGCTCCGGCGGTAGCTGATGAAGACATCCGGAATGTCCCCACTCGGCTTGCAGGCAGTGCAGGGCAGAGGGGAGTGTAGCATTTCTGAGGGGGACAGGAGACAGCTTGGTGAGGGTGGCCCCTCACCATTACTCATAATAAGGTACATCGTCCCTTGGGGTCTACAGGAAGGAAGGCCGCTAACTCTTGGTGAGTCCCTCTCAGGAGGCAGGCGTGGTGTTTTAGGGACATTGAAATGCGCCTCCAGCCCCGCCCTCTCTCTGGAGCTCCAGACCTGCATAGCCAGCTGCCCACAGGCACTCCAAACCCAACACATCCTAAATCCTTCCTCCTAGTTTCCCACCAGAGACCTGGGTGTCAGCCTCAACTCCTGCCTCTCACCCATTCACTCAACCATGTTTACTAAGCGCTCACTGTGTGCCAGGCCCCAGTCTTAGTGCTTGGGGTACAGCAGTGAGCAGAACCAACAAACCCTGCCCTCATGGGGCTGATGTCCAGTGCTCAGCGCCAGGCACCATGCTCTGTGGCTTCTTCCTACTAAACAACTAGACTCCAGCCTCAGGGCCCTCCTTATGTCCCCCAACTCTAGCCCTCTCAGTGGTCTCCCCAAATCCACACTCGCCCAGGCTAATCTGTTGCACAGCTACCAAAGGGATCTTTCTAAAATCCAAGTCTGAGCATGTCATTGCTCCCTACTCCCTGTAAAAGAAAGATCTGTAAGCTATTTTTCCCCTGTAGGATCCTTTATAAAAAAATGATTCTTAAGGGTTTCCTGAGAGCTGCAAAGTAAAAATGACCAAATTTGACCTGCTTTGGTTGAAGCAAAAGCATGGGACAAAGCTCAGTAAGTACTTGCTGAATGAATACATGAATGAAAAGAATCCATCCTATATAATAAAAGGGTAATATGCAAATCGACCAAACGGTGGAACGACTGGTCGGTATGACGTACACTGACCACCAGGGGGCAGACACTCAATGCAGGAGCTATCCCTGGTGATCAGTGCACTCCCACAGGGGGACAAGCCCAGCTGATGGCTGGTGCAGTGGTGGTGGTGGGAGCCTCTCCTGCCTCTGCAGCAGCGCTAAGGATGTCCAAGTGGTGACTTAGGCCCGCTCCCTGAGGGCTCCCGGACTGCTAAAGGGTGCACGCAGGCTGGGCTGAGTCCCCCATGCCCCGAGTGCACAAATGTCATGCACCGGGCCTCTAGTCTTCTCATAATATTCAGACTTAACATCCACAGACAACTTTTATCTGTTTATGAAGCAGGAAGGAAGGGTTTCAAATCCTAATTCTGTTATTTAATGGCTTTTAAACATTGGAAAATATTTTTAAATTCTTTATATCTTAGTTTTATCATCTTTAAAATTAACATCCTTGATGGAAATATTCTTTATCTCTGATTATGATGGTATTTACACAGGAGTAGGCATGCTTCCAAACTCTTCAAACTGGACACTCTTAAGTTAAATTATACTTCTTTCATTCTTTAAACAGTTTTAAAAGTTGATTGAAAAAATAACACCCACTTCATCAAATGGATGTAGAGATTAATGAGACAATGACTGTTCAAAACTTAAGCTCAGTTGGCTTGGCTCAGTGGTTGGGTCAACCTATGAACCAGGAGGTCACGGTTCAATTTCTGGTCAGGGCACATGCCTAGGTTGCAGGCTCGATCCCCAGTACAATCAATGATTGTCTCTCATCAATGATGTTTCTATCTTTCTCTCCCTCTCCCTTCCTCTCTGAAATCAATAAAAAAAAAAATTTTTTTAAACTTAATACAGGACCTGGCATATAGTAATTGACAATAAAGATTAGCTAAATAGTAAATTAGTAAATTAAATAGTAAATAAAGAGGGTTGCTAAAGCCCTCATGACCTCCCTAAAGTACCTCCAGAACCCATACTGTGCAAGTTGTTGTCTAATAGAATAAGCCACCTGTCTTCCCACCCATATCTCACATATGGACTCCCCATGCTCTGTCTCACCTGCACATGCGGCTCCCTCTGTCCTGCTGCTGCTACCCCGACCCCCACCCACCCAGTATATCCTTTAAGACCTGGTCAGACATCCTCTAAATGCCTAGACCTGGGTCGACAGGGCATCCCTCCTGCTGTGGTCACCCCCCTTTTATATGCCTGCCTTCCTCCTACCCACAGCAGACTGGGAACTTCTTGAGGGCAAAGTGCAACACATTCATCCTCGCATCTTCAGAATCCAGTCTGGCACAGCGTCTGACTCCGGGGCCCCACCACATGTCTCCCCTCGCCTCTCCAGGGATGGAGATGGGACAGGGGCGGGTCTCACGCGGGCAGGCTGACCTCTGGCGGCCATGAGGATGCGCATGCGGTGCACGCCCAGGCGGATGCCGCAGTCCTCTAGCAGCTGCTGCTCGGACACGCGGTGCAGCAGGGAGCGGTCCAGGCCGCAGCTGACCAGGCCGTACGTGTACTGGCGGAAGCGCGGGTCCAGGCTGCCCAGCCAGTCAGCCAGGTTGCTGCGGTCACACGTAGCGTAGTTGGCGAAGGTCTTGAGCTCCCTGAGTTCCCTAAAGAATCTGCACCCCAGGGAGGAGAGGTCACTGAAGTCCTGACTCAGACCCGCTAGTGGCCGAGGGGGTGTTTAGAGTGGGCGGGGGGCGGGAGGCAGGCAGGAGGCTCCATACCTCTTGCGGGTGATGCTGGATATCATGCCCAGGTCCGTCTGGAGCTCCTCTTCCGTGAGCCGCAGAAGCAAGTCCCCATCTACCTGCTGCTCCTGGGGTGGAGTCGGAGGTAAGAAAGAAGGAAGGGCTCCCCATCTCAGCCCTGAACCCCCAAGCACAAGATGCAAGGGGAGGGAACTGGAGACGGGGGTAGGGGAAGAGGATAAGACCCCGATTAGAGCCAAGTGACCCTGAAAATTGCTGAGTACAGGCTCTCCACCCCAAAAAGGCTGTGCTGGCACCTCGGGCCTGCGGGACAGGAGGGGGCAAGGTCGCCTGTGCGCATGGCGCCCCAGGGGCCACGCGTCCTTGGGGATGCACAGGCTCTGACTCCGGGAGGCAGCCCTATGCGCCGCTATACCCGGAAGCGTTCGCAGTACTGGGAGAAGCCGATCTGCTGCAGCCACGTCTGGACCTCGGCCTCCTTCCAGCTGGGCACGCAGGGCAGGATGGGCCTCGGCACCTCCTCGCCCAGCAGGCGCAGCGCACGCTTGGCCAGCGCTGAGGTGGTGCCATTGGTGGAGTAGGAAACCAGGCGTTTCAGGCTCTGGGTGGCACCGATGTCACTGAATACCTAGGGAGAGGTGAGGAGAGGGTGCCTTGTACCCACCAACTTTCCAGCCAGCCACCCCCAAATGTGCCCAGCTTCTTCTCACTGTTGAAAGTCCCACCGTCTGCCCTAGCCCTGCCTTCATCCAATAATCATGGAGCCTGAACTCCTCCTCCTGAAGCGCTCTCAAAGCTCTTGACTCCGTGTCTCCCCTCCACAGCTTCCGTCTGTCCTGCGGATAAAGTCTGAGCTCTCAATATGGCGGCCAGGCCTGGCACAGTGCAGCCTCTGTCCACGACTCCAGCTCACCTCCCCTTTCACCAGCCCACACTTGTCTGACACCCCCCACAAAGGTTCTCCCACCTCTGGCCTTGGCCCAAGGTGTTCCCAGGCCCTTGGTTCCTCCAGCCTGTTTGGGGGAGTCCTATTCATCCATTGGTATCCAAATCGATTCCTCCCCCAGTTTGGCCCGCATCTCCAGTTTGACCTTGTACCACACTCTGAATGCCACTGTCATTAGTTGATAATGCAACTGCCACTGGGTGATAAGCTGAGGTCATGTCTTAGTCACCCCAGGAGTCCTGTGCCTGGCACATTGCAGGCCACAGAGTGGGGGCTTACTATGTCTTTACTGAACTGCACTCACTAGCTTGGCTGGGAAAGGGTGGTCATAGCTGCTGCCCAATACTTCCCTACTCCAACTCCCCTCAAGGCTCTTCTCCCAAAGCAAAATGACCCGCTCTATAAAGCCAGTCCTCCCATGGCCCATCTCTGGAGCAGGCACAGAGAGGAGAATCAGAAACTCCTAGAACACTGGACCTTGGAGGAGGCCTCAGAGACCCCCTAACACCAAGCATCTCCTTGATCTGTGAGGACACACACAATGCATGACAATCATCTGAGAGACACACTCCTCTGAGCAGCCCCAGGTGACAGTTGTGGTACAGACAGGGTGGTTCATGTGGTGTGCTCCGCTCCCTGTGCACCAGCTGTCACCAACCCCCCAAATTCCCAAAGGAACAGAAAGTAGGGAGGGTGACACTATAGGGATAATCTTGATTCTGTAATATTTTAAAAAATAAAATTTCAAACTTTTGATAATTTAACTATTACTAGTCCCATATCCAGGGTAAGAACTACTGCTGTGGTCCGTCCACTCCTTCAATTTTCCAGAGGATAAAAATGAGACACAGAAAGGCCCCGAGAAGGGAAGCCAGATATCCACGGTCACACAGCAAGTTAGAGAAGAGGGCAAAGGTTTCAGATCAGGCCCTGGACACGGGGACCTATGGGGACTCCGGTGGGAGTTCTCTGGCGGACACACTGACAACCTGCTCCTCTGTCTCTACACTCCCTTCCTTCCTGGACTCCAGACCCAAATGACAAAATGGCCCACGGGAGCTCTCTACCTGCTCATCTCTCATGCACCTCCGATCCGATCTGTCCCAGTGAACTCACTTTCTGACCCTCCGGGACTCCAGCCTGCCTCTCACACGGTTCACCTTATTTCAGTACCTGGTGCCACCATCCACTGGGTCGCCTATGTCCAAAGTCAGGAGTCACCCTCAGCTCCTCCCTCTCCTTCACCCGGCCACCCACTGAGTCCTAATTCTAGCTCTTCAGCACCTCTGGAATCTGCCTACTTCTCTCTGCCTCTCTCTGGACTAGTCCTGACCCCCACCATCCCAACTGCACCCCTGCCATGGCTTCCTACCTGGCCCCCTTTCCTCCAACCTCACCCTTGCCAATCCCATCTCCAGGCAGCACCTGGGTAATCTTTATAAAACACGTGTCCCACTGCTTAAAACCTTGGTCTTGCCTTCAAGACCAGAATAACTGGTTCCTCATCCTTCTCCTTGCTTTGGGAAGCCTTCCCAAATGCTGTCGAACACCCGATCCTCACTCCACCCGCATCCGCACCTTGGTCTTGCCCTGCAGACTCTTGATGGCAGCTTCCGCGCACAGATAGAACGCCCCGATGCACTGGGCCTCCAAACGCGAGGAGTCGAGCAGCGGCACGAGGCGCTGCAGGTCGTCGGGCCCGCGGCCCTGGCTGGTGTCGCTGGCGTCCACCAGGCAGCGGGCGAAGCGGCCGGGGTCCAGGGAGGCCACGAGCGGCTCCACGAGCTCCAGCGTGCCGGAGCGCTCCACCTCGCGCTCCACCTCCTTGTTGGTCGCCAGCACCGCCACCGCGAGGCAGGCGTGCAGCCGCAGCAGCTCGTCCTCTTTGGAGAAGGCGAGAGGGAAGAGCCACTCGGCGGCGCGCTTCTCCACCATGCGGCGCTGCGCCGCCTGGCCCCCGTGCAGGGCGCAGTTGCCCAGCGCCAGCGCGCAGTGGCGGAGTAGCGCCGTGTCTGTGCGGCGGCACCAGTACAGCACCGCATCCAGGCCGCCGGCCGCCACCAGCCGCTGGCACGTCTCCTCCGAGTGCTTGAACATGTGCTCCAAGATGCCGGCCACACTCCGAGCCAGCTCCACCGGCTCGCGTTCCTTTGCCAGGTTCAGGATGACGCCCAGCCCGATGCGCGCCACGCGGTCCCTGCCGGAAGAAAGTGGAGGGGACGGTGGAGTTGCCGTGTCTGGCTTGCCCCCTGGTCACTAGTATATTCTGTGGACCTCATATAAGACATGAGGGAGAGCATTATTCTCCCTGCCTCCCCACCCCCACCCCCACCCCCCACCTCTTGCCTGGGAGGACCAGACTTCTCTGATTATAAGGATGCTTTCTCCTGGCCTCACCCATTCCCTTTCCTATACCCTCCCTTGGAGAAGCTGTATGGGTCCTGATTAAGAAACCTAGCTCTGGAGCAGATCCCCTGGGTCCTGCTTTCAAATTCTTTGCCATTTTCTAGTTGCGAGACCCTGGGTACCTCCCTTTATCTTTCTACCTTAGTGTCCTCATCTCATAAATAGGATTATAAATACCTACTCTATAGGTTTATGATGAGAATGAATGTGATAATCCGTGTAAAGTGCTTGCCACAGTGCCTGGCACATAGGAAAGACTCAATGTTAACTTATCATCATTTGAAGTGTCACTTGAAGCACACCACTTCTGGCCTTGCCTTCAAACTTCTCTTCAGTCCATGCTGCATGACTGAGTGTATTTATTCATTCATTCAACAGACATGTATTGAGAACCTACTGCGTGCCAAGCACTGAGCTAGTGGCTGAAGTTAAACAGTGACTAAGAGTGACTCAGCTAATATGGAGACAAACAGTAAGCAAGTAAACAGGGAATGAACAGGATAACAGTGATATGGCCAGAATGATAGCAAAACCAGGTGACATAAGGGAGAGTGCTTGGGTGCAGGGATATGTCTGAGGAGATGCCATCTGAGGGTTAAATGTCCAGAAAGCCCTACCTGCAAGTATCTGGGAGAACATAATAGGCAGAGAGGACAGCCACAACAAAAGCCCTGAGGGCTGATGAGCCTGACATATTTGAAGAATAGAAAGCCAGAGATATTTGCAGTGTCTAAAACCAACAAGGAAAAATACAAAACCAACAAGGGATTCATATATAATCTATACAAGTAAATATAAGTAAATATTCGAATCCACAAGAAAAAGGCGACAAATCCAATAGAAAACGGGCAAACGACACAAACGAGCAACTTACAAAAGAGGAAATCCAAAATGCTGACAAAGAGATGCTCTAACTCATTATTAATCAGAGAAGTGAAAATGAAAACAGCAATGACTTTACACCTATTAGCCAGGCAAAAAGCAGAAGCTGGGCAACACGAAAGATTAGTGAAGTGTGGGGCCATGAACACCCTGAAGCCCTGTGGGTGGAGATACAGTCTAGGACAGTCCATTTGGGGAGCAGGCTGGGATGAGTGGATGAAATTAAGGTGATACACACCGAATGGACCAGAAATTGGGGCTCTTAGATTTCTATTTCAAAGAGATTGTAACACAGATCCACAAAAGGACATAGCCAAGTTCATGCTCTGCCTTTTTATCTGTGGTGGGGGGAACTGGGGACAGTCCAGTATCAAGCCTGGGAGAGTGGAGAGATAATATGGGCAGGTACCCAGTCTGGAGGACCCTGGAGCAGTTACAAGTAACTGAGCAGATGATAACATAGCAACATGAAGGATTTTAACATAACACTGAGTGGGAGAAAGTAAGAAATGGAATATAATTCAACACAATTTGTGAAAATTAAAAATGTATGCACAAAACAAGAACAAAGATTTTACCAGAATACAGATAGGAAGATATGTAGTATATGTTGAATGGCTGCCCATGGGATTAAGTCAGAAAGATGGTGGGGACATTAGTCAAGACAAGGGGAACTTCTGGTCAAGATGGCAGCATAGGATCAACCAAAGGACTTATGTGCATGCATATGAGCAAAACAAATGGACACAGACTGTAGGGGGGTGAGGGCTTGTGCTTGGGGGAGAGGGTGGCAGGGGAGAGGTCCATGGTGGGAAAAAGGAGACTCATGTAATACTTTAAACAATAAAGAATTTTTAAAAAAACTAACATAATAGACTGAAGGAAAATAAAAGATGGCAGCATAGGAAAACATGGTGGTACTCCCCTCATCTCAAAACCACATCAAAATTATGTACAACTAAACTACAGAACAACCATCATTCAGAACCACCTGAAAGCAAGCTGAATTAAAGTCCTACAGCTAGGGAATTAAAGAAGGTGACACATCGAGACTGGTAGGTGGAGTGGAGACAAGTATGAGCTGGTCCCACACCCATGTGTATCAGGTGAAAATAGGGAGGAATATCTCGGCTGTGGAGGTACTCCATGAGGAGTGAGGTGTCCCAGCTCCACACTAGACTCCCCAGCTCAGGGCTCCAGTGCTGGGAAGAGAAGACCCTATAATTTCTGGCTGTAAAAACCAGTGGACATTGAGGTTGAGGGAGACAGAGGCTGTTGGAGTCCCAAGCAGTTCCTCTTTAAGTGCACAGACTAACTTGAACTCACTTCTTGTGAGCTCCAACATGGGGGTTGAGGGGTAGCAGCTTGAAAGGCACCAGAGACAAATGGAACTGAATTGACCAGCATCAGGGCTGGGGGTGCAGCTTTCTCCCAGGCAGACGTCATTGTTCCTTTGATGAGCCCTCCCTCCACAGAGCCATATCTGAGACCCCATTAACCTGATTCCCTGAGGCTCTGCCCTACCCAATTTTCAGGCCCACCCAAGTTGTTTCTGGTGGCTTTTCCATATGATTGGCCTGACCTGGTTCATGCTTCAGACTTTGCTAAAATCTTTGAAACAAGCAGCATCTGGCCTCAGCGAGCCCCATACCTCTCACTAAGTGGCCCTAGGCCCAGCACTAGCAGCAGCCAACCTTGGTTCAGAGCTTGACCTCACTGGGGCACCTCCAAGCCCATCATAAGGAGAAGCCATATGCAGATTGCTTTGTAGCTCATGCCAGGTGGCCCGGGGCAGAATACAGGTGGCGGCTGACTTTGGCCGGTACTTCCCAGGAGGCCCTAGAGCCATCACACCCAGTGGACAGCTTCATACCATGTTGAAGCACCATCCCCCAACCACCTTCACAAGCAACACACTCACAGGGTAGACTCAGAGGGCACCAGAGCCCTGCTTAAGTAAGTCCTGCTCTGTGGGGTGGGCCCTGTACAGCTGATCCTCCATGGTGGTTGAAGGTTGAAGCCAGTCCTTGCAGCTGATCGGCCTGGGGGTAAATCCATCCTATGGACATGCCAACAGCAATCAAGGCTCAACCACAAGAGGAAGCTATATGCAGCCCACACAGAGGGCATACCTTGAGTGTCCAGCTTGGGTGGTTGGGGAGGCTGTGCCACTGGACCCTACAGGGCACTGCTACATTAGGCTACTCGATCTAGCCTGGGAGACGTAGCAGCTCTACCTAACACATAGAAACAAACACAGAGAGGCTGCCAAAATGAGGAGACAAAGAAACATGTCCCAAATGAAAGAACAGACCAAAACTCCAGAAAAAGAACCAAACAAAATGGAGACAAGCAATCTACTAGACGCAGAGTTCAAAGCACTTGTTGTAAGGATGCTCAATGAACTTAGTGAGCACCTCAACAGCATAAATAAAGAACCAATAAGAAATTAAGGACACACTAACTGAAATGAAGAATAATTTACAGGGAATCAACAGTAGAGTAGATGAAGCCAAGAATCAAATCAGCAATGGGAATATAAGGAAACAAAAAACACCCAATCAGAACAGAAAAAAGAGAAAATAATCCAAAAACAAACAAACAAGGATAGTGTAAGGAGCCTTTGGGACAACTTCAAGAACACCAACATTTGCATTGTGGGGGTGCCAGAAGGAGAACAAGAAATGGAAAACCTATTTGAAAAAATGATGACAGAAAACATCTCTAACTTGAAGGTAATAGACATTACAAGTCCGAGATGAATCCAAAGAGGCCCACACCAGGACACATCATAATTAAAATGCAAAAGGTTGGCTTAGCTGGTTTGGCTCAATGGATAGAGTGTCGACCTGAGGACTGAAGGGTCCCGGGTTTGATTGCGGTCAAGGACACATGCCTGGGTTGTGGGCTCGATCCCCAGTAGGGGGCGTGCAGAAGGCAGCCGATCAGTGATTCTCTCTCATCATTGGTGTTTCTATCTCTACCTTCCTCTCTAAAATCAATAAAAATATACATTTTTTAAAAATTAAATAGAATAAAATTCAAAAGGTTAAAGACAACAAGAAGCCCTAGTCTTGGTCGGGTAGTTCGGTTAGTTAGAGCGTAGTCCCAAAACATCAAGGTTGCACTTATCCTGATATTTGAGGTGAGGGAAGCTGACACCTGGGCTCCTGGGAAGTGGGTGTGGCAGCATCTTGGGAAGGAGAGCTGCAGAACTGAGAATGGCAAAAGGTGTGGGGAACTGATGGAAGAGCCCTCTTTAAGAGGAAGTTGGTTGGCAGAGGAAGAACAATATTTCATAAACACACATCATCTGTGTGTCGCTCCGTTCTTTCCCTTCCAGCCTCCTCCAGGCACAGTCCAGAGGAGTAATTAGATTCTACCTTTCTTTGGAAGGACTCTGATCCCCAGCAGGCGCGCTGGGATCTGTCCTTGGTCCTGAAGTGATGCCTGAACCAATGCCTCAACCAGTACGTGGTTTCTTGGGACCAAGGACACTGGTTAGTGTGATGCCTCTCTCAGTAGTTCTGAACCACGTGAGAAATGTTATTTCCAGCCTTAAAAATAGCAGCGCTTTTTGCATCTTGTAGCCCTCCTCTTTCTAGGGTGCTCGCTGCACCCACTCTCCAGGAGTTCTAGTTATAGCTGCCCCATCCCGCATACCAGGCCTACAGGGCACACCCACCAACATGGGCCCACACATCCAGTGAGCACCCACTCTGTTTGCTAGCGCTCTAAATTTATGGTCCATTCCCATAAATTTAGGGCACGTGATGTTAGATGAGAGGTCAATGACTTGCTGAACAAGCAGAACCAAAACTTGGGTTTCCCAATTTATATGTCTTCATTCATGCATTTTTGAAAGTTGCACAATTTCCATCCCCCACAAAGTTATTTTCACTTTTTGAAGATGGCAAGAAAAGCACCACTACCCTATGATCATCACACTTGTGAGAGCTGCATGAACTGAAAGTGACCCTTCCAAACCTGAGGGGCTTGAGAATTCAGGTTGAGCCTGAAGTGTGACATCCTGATCTGCGCTGGCATCAAAGGAGAGAGAACGAGAGTGCTCAGGGGTTTTCATATTTTAGGGGAGACCCCAAGAGGCAGCCAAGAGAGTGGCAGTCGGGCCTCAATTGGACCCCACCTACTCACCTTGACACAACTTGGGAAAGGGGAGAGAACATATACTCTGTCTGGCCCTTGCCTAGCCCTCCACCTCACTTTCCTCTCCCCCCACCCATGCATCTCAGCAGAAAACCTTTTTCCCCCTCCTTCTTTCAGCCCAGCCTGTGGTGAGACCATTTCCTGTTGCCTTCATTGGGAATCCGTGTCTCTTTGCTTGCTGGTCAGGTAGGGTTAGGGGCTGTTTGAAACAGAGAGGAACTCTGCTGAGATACCAGCACCCTCAGTGTCTCAGCAGAAAACCTTCTGATTCCTATCAGCAGCTGCAGGATGAGATCATGCCTGGCCTGTTACATGGACCAAAATGAAGGAGGAAGCAGGAGGGGGATTTGGGATGGCATGAAGAGGGTAAATAACCCTTAGATTGGCACTCATTTCAGCCTGGGGAGAGAGGAATGGGGGGGTCCATTTTCTGAGTATTGTGTTCTCTCCCTCTCTCAGGAGGAGGGAGATGATATAGGAGAGAGAAGGTAGAATAAAAAGGCATTCCGGCTTGTGGGGAGGAGGGCTATTGGTTTAGGGGAGCATTGGCAATAGGATCCTATTTCCATCCTCAGAATCAGGGACAAGTTCCTGTTCTACCATTCCCCCTCTCCCTGTCTCGTTCCTCACCTCACCAGCCCCGGGAGTGAATCCTGGCTGCACCATTATTTCACTGCATGACGCTGGGCGAGTCACTAAACTTTCCCATCAGTTTTCTCATTCATAAAATGGATATGTTGATCCCCACCAGGGATGTAGTAGGGTGAGGCAGGGAAGGAAGGCACAGTGCAAGGCACACGGGCGACCCAGGCACCCCACAGCCCTTGCTGCCCCACACCACGCGGCGCTCTCCCCAGCCAGGCACCCTCACCGATTCTCAGCCACCAGGATCTGCTCCAGCAGGCGTGCGGCCTGCACGCGCGTCTCCAGCTCCGTCGCCTGCAGCAGCCGCAGCAGCAGGTCGAGGCCGCCGTCCAGGCGGATGGCGTCGCACAGACCCTGGGCTACCTCGCGGCCCACGGCCGGCAGCTGCCAGGCCTCCTCTACCAGATGGAAGACCTCCGCCAAGCCGACGCCGACAGCCCGCGCACTACCCGCCAGCTTCAGCGCCGTCAGCGCCTGCTGCAGCTCGGGCAGCGCACGCTCCAGGGCGCCCTGCACCTCGGTGCCCACCCCAGGCGACACCTCGCGCGGCCCGCGGCCGCCTGCGACCCACCATGGCCCCGCGCTGCCGCTCCCGTCCGGCCCCGGCACCACCAGCCGGTCGGCGCCCGACTGTGGGCCTGACATGGCGAAGAATCGGCACAGCTTGTAGGCGGAGAGGAGCAGCGTCAGGACCATGGGCGCGGGGCTGCAGAGGGCATCCCTGGCCTGGAGGGGCGGGACCTAGCGGAGCGGAGCGCCCCGGACCTTGGGAAAAAGGGGACCCGAGAGGAGGTCAGGGGGAAGAAGATGCAGGAGGGAGGGATGGAGAGCAGGGTACCAGGCAAGGGCGCTGGCCAGTAATTTGGGAGAGGGAAGGACAGGATCTAGGACGAAGCGTTTGGGAAAGGGAATGCAGGCCCAGATACAGGGGATGGACGGGAGGAGGGAGCTGAAAAGCGAGGGGCGGACCCAAACGCCGGAGGGTGCAGGCAGCAGCCACCAGAACAATGCGCGGCTCCAGCTCCGGCTTGGCTGGCAGAGGTGCTCTCAGCAGCCACGCCCCTGAGAAGCCGGACCCAGAGCCGACGCCCCGCCTCTGGGTCTCGCGGGGCTCCGCCCCTGCCTCCTGCGTAGCTCCACCCTCAAGTCCTGCCCCGCCCCGCCCCGCCCACGCCCTCGCCAGACCTCTCCCCCCTCGTGGCATCCCCCCCCCCCCCGCCTCCCCTCCGCCCCCCACTCCTCCCCCGGGTGTAGGGGCAGCGGGTGGAGAGCGAGAAGACTGCCTCGGTTTTAACCGTGACACTGGTCATGTGAAGGCAAGCAGCATCCTTGTGTGTCCCCTCCCCCCTACTTGTAGTTAAAGCGATCATAATAACTCTAGAGGCGGTTTATGCCTGTTTCTCAATTCAGCCTTACAACCTGCCTCTGAGGGAGGAATTAGTGTTCCCATTTAATAGGCGAACCGACTTAGGCCTAAGGAAAAGAGATTGCCCCTAAGTCACACTCCCCTCTGATCAGAGAACAGAAAAAAAAATCAGCTGGAAACTCTCAGGATCACTTCCTGCAGGTGGCGGAGGACTTCAGGAGTTCTGTGGACTCCTGAAAGTGGGCACAGAATCGGGCATTCTGTGCTCGTGGGCATTCTGTGGGTAGAGGGATCCTACTTCTCACGAGAGTCTTAAAGTGGGAGGAAATGGGGGGTGGGGGGGGTGGACCAGATCACTCTTGAGGGTGGGGACAGGGAGTGGCCTGCTCAGGAGCAGTAAATTAGTGGAAGACTCAGGAATCAAATCCAGTCCAAAGGGTTAATAGTCACTCAATTTCCTGTGTTGTGAAGACCAGCTTGGGAAAATCAATGCACCCAAGGGATGAACCCAGAAATGAAACTTTGTTCTTTCCTGATAAAAAGATTTCCCCAGGGTGCTTACCAGCATTCCTCCTCCCCTCCTCACTTCACTGCCCTAAATACACAATGAGTGGGTGTGCCTGATCAAACAGATCATAGATCAATACCATGTATGGAGATTGAAGTCGGGGCTACTCTAGGCATTGGGCATTTTGTCTGCTTAACTCATATAATCTCCCAAGTATGATTAGTCTCATTTTACCAAAAAGAGAACTAAGGCAGGTAAAGCAGATTGCCCAGGGTCACACGGCCAGTAAGTGGTGGGGTAGGCCTTCTTTCTGCCTTCCAGACACACTGTACTATTTCCCTCCTGAAATAACCCCAAGCTTGGCAAGGATCCTGTTTGCAGCTCTCCCAGGCCCAGAGTGTCAGGAATGTGACCCTGTGCAACAGCAACCTCTCAGGGTCAAGGCACAGGGGGGCTGGGCCAGAGGTTGAACAAATAGAGCAGCAGGAAAGGCAGCTCCTCTTCTCTGGTTCCCTCCCTTTCTTTCCCACCGCTCCCTCCCTTTCTCAGGCATCAGAGCAGAGAGCACAGAACCCAGTAAGCCAGGCTCACGGCTACAGGCCCTGCCATGGCTCCCCTTAGGCCCCTTCTAATGCTGGCCCTGCTGGCCTGGGCTGTTCTGGCTGACCAAGGTGCAGGAGGGTGTTGGTGGCCAGTTGGGCTAATGTAGGGTGGGCAAGAGTGGGCCTGTCTTGGCTGTGCCAACTGAAACTCCCTCCCCACAGAGTCATGCAAGGATCGCTGCACCGAGGGCTTCAACCCGGAAAAGAAGTGTCAGTGTGATGAGCTCTGCTCTTACTACCAGAGCTGCTGTTACGACTTCGTGGCTGAGTGCAAGCCCCAAGGTGCGTTCAGAATGGCTGGGTGGGTCTGGGGTCCCCTCTGCAGCCGGAGACTCACACCACCCACTCTGCCTGCAGTGACTCGCGGGGATGTGTTCACTATGGCAGAAGATGAGTACGGGGTTGATGGCATCGATTCGGAGACAGAAAATCCCAGTGTCCACACACGGACAGAGAGCACTCTCATTAACAGTTCCCCACAGCCCCCTGAAAGCATTCCTGAGCAGGGAATTGTTCTGAATCCTGAGGAAAAGGTCCCAGGACCAGAACAGGAGATCCCAGGGCCTGACATGGAGACCCTAAGGCCTGAGAGCAACCATCAAGAAATCTTCGAATCCTCAGCAGAGGAGCTGTGCAGTGGGAAGCCCTTTGATGCCTTCACTGACCTCAAGAATGGTTCCCTCTTTGCCTTCCGAGGTGACTCCAGGGGCAGGTCTCTGGGGCGGGGGTCTGCCCCAGGAACATTCCGTCCCTCACACAGCCTCCTCCACTCTAGGGAAGTACTGCTATGAGCTGGATGAATATGCAGTGAGGCCTGGGTACCCCAAGCTCATCCAAGATGTCTGGGGTATCGAGGGCCCCATTGATGCTGCCTTCACCCGCATCAACTGTCAGGGGAAGACCTACCTCTTCAAGGTGCCGGGCCCAGGGGCTGTGGGTGAGGGTCAAGGGTATCCAGGCAGGAGTTGAGAGCTGTTGTGCCGGGGACCAGGGTGGGCAAGGAGGCTGAATCCCAGCCTTTGGTGTCTGGCTGAAGCTCTGGGAGGTTAAGGAAGCCCAAGGTTCCAGGTCCTGGGTGACAAGTCTAGAACTGAGACTGCTGCCTTGGATGGGGGGACTCTGCCTCCGTGCCCAGCCAGCCACCTCCTCACCTCCCTCCTCCTTCCCTACCCCCTTAGGGAAGTCAGTACTGGCGCTTCGAGGATGGTGTACTGGACCCCGATTACCCCCGCAGCATCTCTGAAGGCTTCACGGGCGTCCCAGACAATGTGGATGCAGCCTTCGCCCTCCCTGCTCACAACTACAATGGACGGGAGCGGGTCTACTTCTTCAAGGGTACTCAGGGGGTAGAGGGGAGAATGAGCAGGCAGTGGAGCAGTCTCAGTTTTGGGGGACTGGCCTAGATGATGCCTATGTCCATCCTCCTTCCACCCTGCCCTGGCCTGGAGCTCCTAACAGCCTCTGGGCTTTCCAGCCTTGCTCATGCCCACCCCTCCCCAGGACAACAGTACTGGGAGTACGAGTTCCAGCAGCAGCCCAGTCGGGAGGAGTGTGACGATAGCTCCCTGTCAACCGTGTTTGAACACTTTGCCATGATGCAGCGGGCCGGCTGGGAGGACATCTTTGAGCTTCTTTTCTGGAACAGACCCTCTGGTATGGAGGGAGGGCAGGTCTTGTTTCCCCTTCAAGAGGGCTGGGATCCCGGAGACAGAGGGAAGGCTGGGCTGGCCAGAAGGGGAAGTGATTGTAGAGCTATCCATCAAAAGCTGTTTGCTCAGGCCAGACTTTGCATCTGTTTTGACCTTTGGGGGGAAGGCTTGCCTCCACCTGGACCCCACACCTTGGACTTTGCCTAGCATGCCCAAGGGCACAGCCAGCAAAAGGAGGGGCTGTGGCTGAGGTAAATAGGGCGGGACATGGTGGAGGGAGGCCAGGGGAAAGGGCATTAAACAGAGTCAGAAAGCCAGGGTGCTGGCCTCTTCCGCTAGCTTGCTGTGTCCTTGGGCACCTGATGAACTACCCTGTAGGGGGCGGGCGGGCGGGGGCGGGGAGGGTCCAGGCTCTCAAGGTTCCCCATTAACCCCTTCCCTGCTACAGGTGGTACCAGACCGCCCCAGTCCATCAGCGAGGACTGGCCTGGTGTGCCCGGGAAAGTGGATGCAGCCATGGCTGGCCGGATCTACATCTCAGGCTCAGCTCCTCGCTCCTCCTTGACCAAGAGCACTAAGTCTAAGCGTCGCAGCCGTAAACGCTACCGATCACGCCGTGGCCGCGCTGGTGGCCACAGCCCCAACTCCCACCGGAAATCCCGTTCAATCTGGCTGTCCTTGCTCTCCAGTGAGGAGAGTGGCCTGGGAACCTACAACTATGATTATGACATGGACTGGCTTGTGCCTCCCAAATGTGAGCCCATCCAGAGCGTCTACTTCTTCTCAGGAGGTAGGCGCCCCTGCCACCCCTGTAGCGGGTTCAGCAGTGGCCCGCCCTGCTCTCTCTAGTTCCCATGAGCTGAACTCGGCCCTTGAGCAGTGACTCCGGAAAGCCAGGCCAGGAGTCCTGGCCTGCATTGTGATGTTCACTTACCCTCCCAGGGGAGACTGGGTTTTAGGGCAGGCGTGGGCAGGGCCAGGCTGGGCCTCACTCACTCTCCCCCAACCTCTCTTCCAGACAAGTACTACCGAGTCAACCTTCGCACACAGCGAGTGGATACTGTAAGCCCGCCCTACCCACGGAACATCGCCCAGTACTGGTTGGGCTGCCCAGCCCCTGATCACCAGTAGGAGTCGGAGCCCATATATCTGGGCCCTCCGCTGCTTCCTTCTCTAACCTCCTCCTCCCAGCTCAATAAAGATCCCTTGGCGCTGAGTTTAAGATTGCTGTCCTGACTGGGGTAGACAGGAAGGAGGCAAGGCTCTGCCTGGGTAAGGGAGGCGAAGCTGGGCTGTTAGGGTGGCTTGGAGAGAAGAGCCTTCCTCTGTCCAGCCCATGTTTGGCTCAGGGCCTCCTAATGAACCACAAAGCTGTGGGCTGGAGAAGGCCTCGTGGGTGCTAGCCCTCCTCCTGAGCTAAGCAGCCCCTAACAACCCACCAGTAGCTAAGCAGGAGCTCGGATGATGATAGGAGTCACCAAGCGCCCCCTCTCAGCCCTGGGCTTGCTTTACCTCTTGGAGTTGACCCCTAGGGTCTTGGAGGACAGAGAAGGGGTGAAGGGGATGGGCTTCTGGTTCAGTTTTCTGGTCATCTTGAGCCTGAAATGTGGTTATCTCAGAAGACCTGAGTCCCTAGGGAACTGGTCACTGGTGACCCCTAGTGACCCCTAGTGACCTGGCTCCCCTAGTGACCCCCCATCTGTGAGGACTCTGCCTGGGGTTTGGGTGCAGGGCACTGAGGTTAGGAGAGATAGGAAAGGCAGGGACCCAAAGGAAATTCAAATGTTCCTACATCTCTTAGTAAGTGGCCCAGAAGATTTCCAAGGACCAGTGCGCTGTATATACAAATATCTTCCTTAAAACCCCTCAGTTGTACCTGTGGAACCTCCTCTGATTTCAGGTTCCTGGACTCTAGGAAGCCCACCTGGGCTTTTGAGGGGCCAGAGAGAAAGGGTTAGATGAAAACAAAGCTCTAAAGCAGACCTGAGGGAGATCTGGTGGTGACAGCTGCTTCCCAGCCCTGCTGCTGTCCCATCATCCTCTGCACCCTGCCCAGCCTCAGCAGGTACTTCTCCCATATCCTGGAGAAAGGGAATCCTTTCTGCTTTTTGGAGGCTTCAGAACTAAGTTACAGGCCAGCATCCAGGATGTGTGGAACAAGGATGACGGCTGATTTGTACACTTGGGCAAGTTCAGGCAGCATGGCCCACTTCCAGGAAGGCCTGGATTCTATTTACTCTCGATGGAAAACCCCAGCCCAGCAGTGCCTGGACTGGACTGGAGAAGGCAGACAGGCATCAGGATTAGGATCAGGTACCGACAGACCAGGTCTGTTCAGTTGTTGGAGTCTCCTCTGCTGCCCCCTCTGGAAATTGACAAAGGACTCCTATGGAGCCCAGTCCTCAGCTGGGGGACAGGACTGCACCCACTCTCCCCTGAAGGCAGCCAGCACCTTCAGGGCTGAAGTCCTGGGAACACTGCAGAGAGGGATTTCTTTGGCTTCCTGGAAGAAGCCCTGGGAGAATTTTTATGAAGTACCCGGATTTCAGACACAGACGGCCAAACTGTGCAGTTCAAGGAGTGGGGCTGGGACCAGCTTCCTTTGTGGAGCCCTGGAGGAGCAGGGGCCCCAAAACTTGTGCCCCACCTATACCCTGCCAAGCTCCAACACTGCCCCTGGCCACCTGTGTCTCCTCAAGCTGGATGATAAACCTCTATGCTCCTGGAGGTGGAGCCAGCCCTCTGAGCAGGATAAAACCCCAATCAGAGGAGTCTGGTGTGGGCACAGCCTGGGAATGGCCCTCTGGCTCCTCACTCTCTGCCAGCTCCATGGCCAACCCTGTGGATGCATCGCCAACAGGTGATCTGATGGGAAAAGGGCTGGCAGGGAAGGATGTAAGGGAGGGTATGATGGGGGAAATTTGGGCAGGCAGCAGATGCTTCAGGGTCTCTTGAGGGCTTTGAGGTTGGGGTGGAGGCTCTTGAAGCGAGTCCTGGCTTGATCTCCACCTCGGCCCACAGGCCATGCCAGTGGGTTGGGTCCCCACCGGAGAAAGCGGACCACCTTCAGCAGAGGACAGCTGCTGGAGTTGGAGCGGGTGTTTGCAGCACGGCCCTACCCTGACATTGGCACCCGTGAGCATCTGGCCCAGGTCACCTGCCTTCCTGAGGCCAAGATACAGGTGAGCTGTGACCCCCCTCAGGGTGGGGATACTCTCACACAGCCAGCTTCTGGGCTTGACCCACAGCTCCTTCTGAGTATCCTGCCTCCAAGTTCTGCTTTCCCTGTGCTTGGGGGGAGGGGATACTGGAGCCAAAAGAGACCTCTTCTTCTTCCCTTCCCAGGTGTGGTTCCAGAACCGGCGGGCCAAGAGAATCAAGAACAGGAAGCCAGGAGGCCTAAACTCCAGGCCTGAGCCCCCCCAGAGACCCTGTTCTCTTTCAGATGCCCTCCAGCAGTCTCAGGAGCCCCAAACACTAGGCCAGCTTCCACTCTCCAGCAGCACAGCTCAGTGCACCTCAGGGTGTCGACATGCCTCCTGTCCGGCTCCTGGCTTGGGTCCAGGGCAGGGCTGGGTGGGGGCTAAAGCTGTAGCTCCTTGGGGACCAGCTGGGGCTTCAGGGGTCCATCTTTCTTCAGAGCAAACTACTCCCCAGACCTCACTGGGCAGCCTGTCTGAACTCATCTATGCCTCGGCCATTGTCACCAACCTGGACCACTCCTAATCTAGGTCAGAACTTGCAAACCCCCACCTCTAGCTCCTGTAGCCCACCTGCCCCTTGAGCTGAAACACATCACCCTCTTCTTTTACACAAGGGCATTCTCTTATGGGGAGAAAGTTTAGTTCAGGGATCCCTCCCTTCCACTGTCCTCCAGGCCAGCCTAGATGCGGGACCTATGGAGTAAATGGGACCTGGCTCCTGCTTCCCAGCACCCTGCACCTCCTGAGGCATATGCCCATTGTCTTGGCAGGAGAGACCTTCAGAGGGATGAGGTATGGGGCCACATTTTCCCCCTGTCCTGCCAGGCCCGGCCCCCAACTCTTCTCACCCAAGCAGAAGACACCTCCTCCCTCTAAAGGAAAATGGGCAGGAAGCTGCCTCTCACCTTCAGGCCAGCACCTCACTGCTGTGAGCTAGGGGAGGAGAGTGTGCTGGTCCTAATTCTAGACTGCAAGGGACCAACCCTTTCATAGTCGAGGGTCTCTCCTGACCTCCTACCACCTGGACAAATTAATCAGAACCATGAATCTGAAGAAGAAGCGATATTAAAGTAATAAAGTAGAAACAGGAGCTTGTAGTTTACATTGATTTAATTTTCATAAAGATCAGATCAGTTGCCCTCTGATCTGGGGGTGTGGAGAGAACCTGACAGATTCGAACAGGGTAGGGTGGTGTGTGCACGGCAGCGTTGGGTTTTGCTATCACTGTCATCTGTAATACCAACTAATCTCCAAATAAAACCCAAACTCTGTACCTTAATCTGGATTGTTGTGTGATACAAACGAACAGGGACGAGAAGGCCCTTTGCTTGTGAAATTTATCTCCATCACCTAATCTCTAAATGGGCCAAGTTCCACAGATTCTGGTGGGGGAGGTATTACCCAGGTTTCTGCTGGGATTAGTTAAGAGGGACAGTTAACTGAAGGGCTTAGGGCTCTCACTGACAGACTCTGGGGAGGTGGGAACCTCTGCTGGCAACTCCTGCCCTGACCCTACTGGTTTCAGGACAATCTGGCTGCCTCCTGTTCTGGAGCTGCTCTGCAATCCTGGCATTGCTAAGTAACCTTGCAACTCTCTCAGTCTATGAGCCTGAAGATGGGGATGATAATACTTGTCTCCTCTCTGTTTTGGAAATGAGAGCCAGGAATCTCCACAAAGCTTTTAAAACTTAATTTTAAAACAGTTTAGGTTGCCCGGCTGGCATGGCTTAGTGGTTGAGCACCAACCTATGAACCAAAAATCTGAGGTTCGATTCCTAGTCAGGGCACATGCCTGGGATTTTGGGTTCAATCCCCAGTGTGGGGCGTGCAGGAGGCAGCTAATCAATGATTCTCTCTCATCACTGATGTTTCTACCTCTCCCCCCTACTCTCCCTTCCTCTCTGTAATCAATATAAATATTAAAAAAACAAAAAACAGTTTAGGTTGCTAGAAACGCTGTAAAATGCCACCTACATTTTTCTCCTGTTTTCATTCCTGCCAACCAAATACAGAGATCCTAGGATTTTTCAATGTGATCTATGGTGAACAGAAGGGCCTAAAACCTCCTCCTCTCTCATGTAGAATACTGCGATGACAGGCTCAGACTTGTTATAACTGGCAAACATTGTTGAGGGAATGTCTACTCAGCCAATGAGTATATAATTTCTAAAAATAGAGGAATGCCTGGGGACGGGGTGGGGGGAGACCGCTGGAGCTTATGCAGTGAACAAATGGAAACATGGACTCTACCATTAGGAGCAGACTCTGCACAATTTTCAGAACTATAAAAATCTTTGGGCTTTTGTGTTTTCACAGATTTGAAATAAAAGTACACTGAATACAATAAATATTTATTATGCTTTATACAGATTCTATCATCACACCACTAATCTAAGTTCCAGAAGTTTAATATTACACAGAGACTTCAGGACCATCTAGGAGTCTTTGGCTCCATTTATCAGAGGAAGGAACAAAGTAGATCATTTGATCTCTCTCGGCCTCAGTTTTGTCATCTGGAAAAGGGGCCTAAGACCATTTCCTTTTCTAACCTCCAGGACTATTGTAAAGACCAAAAACAACTATGTAAAACAATTAATCAACTGTGAGCATTTACATATTATTTTTCACACTCACCCAAACATGTTTAAGAACCCCACAGAAAACACCTTGTATTAGGCTCACATATAAAAATATGTATACATATTCATGTGTATGTTTATTCATAGTTAAATCTGAAAATCATCCCTGTCCCTCCCTTTACTAGTTGAGGCAATCTCACAGTAGGCATACTCTCCCCACAAACACAAACAAATACAAGGGATTTTGCAATTAAAAGCAGAAACACTGTTTTGCGACCTGAATTGTTTTCATTTTTGGAGACAGAACAAAAGGTGATGAGAAGACAGGAAGTTTAAGAAGGGCTGGTGGGTGGTAGAGACAGGCAGAAGCATATAGAAACCCTAACAAAGACAAGCAGAGGGAAGAAAATGTAGATAGAAACTAAGATTCCAAAAAATAGCTGCCTTACATCCAGTTCCGCCATTCTGTACAGACCCATCTTCCTCCTCTTCTTGTTTTATGTCCTCCGATCAGTTCTTCCCCATAACCTGGAGAAAGGGAATCCTTTCTGCTTTTTGGTAGGCTTCAGAACTAAGTTACAGGCCAGCATCCAGGATGTGGATCAGGAACCGACAGACCAGTTCTGTTCAGTTGTCGGAGTCTCCTCCTACTGTCCCCTCTGGCAACTGACAGAGGATGAGGCTGCCCACAGAAATAGCAGGTAGCAGGGGCGTGGCCCTGACTGACTAGAGCTGAGTACAAAGAACCTGATGGATTGACTGAGAGTCAGTATTTGGCAGCTGGGGGCCTGGAGCCCCTCCAAATCGTCTCCAGACTTTGATGATGAAGCACCAGTTATATCTCTCCCAACTCGCCTTCCATCACCCGCACCATGACATACAGCTCAGCCAGACCCACCACAGAGGCGACAATCACTGCAGCCAGTATCCGCTGGGGAGGGAAAGGACCAGGCTCAGGGGGTGAAGACCAGCCACCAGCCCTGCAGCCTCCAACACCTCTAATAAGGATGAAGAGAACCCCAACCCAGCCCATAAGTTGGGGGGAAAGGAAGAAATGAGGATCTGAATTCTCCAGAGGTTATTAACCACTCCCAAGACTATTAAGCTCAAATGCTCCTCTTTTTTTTTCTTCTATATTGATTAAGGCGGCGGTTCTCAACCTGTGGGTCGCGACCCCTTTGGAGGTCGAACGACCCTTTCACAGGGGTCACCTAAGATCATCCTGCATATCAGATATTTACATTATGATTCATAACAGTAGCAACATCAGTTATGAAGTAGCAACGAAAATAATTTTATGGTTGGGTCACAACATGAGGAACTGCATTTAAAGGGCCAGAAAGTTGAGAACCACTGGATTAAGGTATTACACATGTGTCCTTATCCCCCCGTTGTCTCCCCACGCCCATCCCGCTCATGCCCTCACCCCCTTGGTGTCCGTGTCCATTAGTTAGGCTTATATGCTTGCATACAAGTCCTCTGGTTGATCTCTGCCCCTTACCCCCACCCTCCCCTACCTTCCCTCTGAGGTTTGATGGTCTGATAGATGCTTCTCTGTCTCTGGACCTGTTTTTGTTCATCAGTTTATGTTGTTCATTATATTCCACAAATGAGTGAGATCATGTGATATTTATCTTTCTCTGACTGGCTTAGCAAACGCTCCTCTTGTTTACTGCACAAATATTTATTCATTGCCTAACTTATGCAAGGCACTTTCACATACATCCTCCCTTTCCCACTAACACCCGCACCTGGAGCACCCTACCCTGCCCAGTGCTTACTCACCGAGGCCATTTCTGTGAAGATATACTGGCTTCCAAGGTAAGTGCAGACAAAGGCGGCTGCCACCGTGACAATGAAGTTGAAGATGGTGATGACCACAGCCTTCACTGACCTCACTTTGGGGAGGAACCCAGGAAAGAAACCTTTAGCTCAGCATCCTCCAGGAGGTCCTCCTATCTCTATAGCTGCCTCCCCCATCTACTGGGTCTCCCTTAACCAGCAAACCTGAATAGCTCAGGCTTAACCCCAGAGTACTGGGATGGGAAGGAGTATCATGGCTGAGCCCTCGCAGGGAGAGACTTTAGCACCTAATATCTTAGTCTCTCACCTTCCTTGCCCAGGTCACTTAGAATCCCACCATGCCTTGAATCCTGGAAAAAAGAAAAAACAAATGATTTCAGAATGGAAGCAGATCAGGGGCAGCCCAGAGAGTAGCCATTTGTTAGTCTGGGCTCAGCCCTTTTTAATTCCCCGAAGCATTGTAACTCTTTCTTATGCATGGATTCTTTTGTCTATGACCAGTTGGATTCTTTTCTGGACCACAGATCAAGCATTTCAAAGAAAGGACACAGGCTCCCAGTATTCGTCTACCCCTCGACTGTTCTGGGGCAGGAGCACGCCAGAGAACAGTAGGGAGCCCTGCTGGAAGAAAGGCTCCAATGCTCATTCCCATCTCTACAACCTTGAAGAATCAGTCACCATCTAAGCCCAGAGTCTCAGTGAATAAGTTGGGAATTATATTTGGTTTTTATGTAACACAGAGCTGCTCTCGTCCCTGAAGAGTATACAGACTATGTTGCTTCTTTCCTCTGTGCCTCTTCCCAGTGCAGGGCCCTGCTTTCTGGGGCTACTCAAGTCCATGTATTGAAGAGCAGGCCCTTACCTGACAGGTGACATTGCGGGTGATCCGCTTATATTCGTCATTGGCCAGCTGTATCTTAATTTTCTCCAGACGGGCAACTAGCTCTGGGTTCTAAGGCAGGAAAATCAAATGAGAAGAATGACATTCCCAGCTTGCTAGAAAACATGTCACAGTCATTGGTTTCAGGGGGCAAAGCACTGCTCAGGGTACTAGGAGACCCACGTACCAGTTCCGCCTCCATTGCTTTGGAAACTTTTAGGTCAAACATGGAGGACCAATATCTGGTTCCCCCACCCCAGCTCCCAAGGATTTAAAAGACAAGTTTTTGAACTCAAAAGTTGACCTATAAACCTGGCTGTATCACAGATAAGCTCAATTCAGCCAATATCCACTGTCACAAATATACCCCGTACATACCCTAGGAGGCTTCACCACCTCTGGGAGATAGATTTCACTGCCTTCTAGGAGCTCATGAAGGTACAGTGTGGAATCTGGGAAGAAAAAGATTTCCACAAACAGAATGATCCATAGAGCTGAGCTCGAAGGATTAAGATCAGAGAAGGATCTAGTCTTTCCCCTAAAATAAAGCATGGCCATTCCTATACCAATTCACCTCCAAGACCATTTTCAACTGGGAAGAATATAAGACAATTCCACATAATCATCTCCTACTGCTGCACAGCTGCGTTTAACTGTCAGCTCTCAGTTACCCTGGCCATGTCACTGCTAACCCGTAAGCCATTTACATTTGCCTGTAGGTGAAGTCATTTCTGTGGCCACCACAGAACTGCCCCAATGAAGTTAGTCACAGTGGTGTGGACTACTCAGAGAAGAGGATCTCTAAGGTCCTTTCAGTTCCAACAGTCAAGCAGTCTATCCTTTGTACTTCCGGGGAGGCAATGTTCATTTTAGCAAAAGACCTTACAGGCCAGTGTGTCCTATTTCCTCCCTTTACAGTGAAGGAAACTGAGGTCCAAGGAAGAGAAATGACTCCTCCCATGGGAGTCAGTGGCAGAGCTCGGACTAGGGCTCAGGTGCCAGTTCAGACCTTCCCACACAGCTGTCTATCATCCTATCTAAAGTCAGATGTGCCTGGCCGGTGTTTCTAAGTGGTTAGAGCACCAGCCTGCAGCCTGGAGGGTCTCGGGTTGGATTTCTGGTCAAGGGCACGTAGGTGGGTCCCAGTCGGGGCGCCTGGGAGAAGGCGACCAAACAATTGATGTTTCTCCCTCACATCGATGGTTCTCTCTTTCCCTCCCTTCCTCTAAAAATCAATGGGAAAAATATCTTCGGATGAGGATTAACAACAACAACAAAAAAGAGTCCGATTTGACGACTTTTACTTCTGAGATGGAAAGAAATCCAGGCTCGCAAACAGGACAAGCTCACTGTGCTTACGGTGGCTTAAAAGAAACTGAACCTGTGACATGGTACTGGGTCGGGACTTGGGACTTTTTCAAAGGTCAGGTGGGCCTCCTTGGGCCCGGAAGTGAAGTGGAGACTCTGCAGAAAGCAGAAACCGCACAAGTGCATGTTGCCATCCAGTAGGAACTCCGACGGAAGTTGTGAGGGAGTAAGTCGCCCTGGGATTTAATGATAAGGTGAGTCCTGGCTTGGCTCGGTGACCGCTCCGCGGGCGAAGGAGCGTGATGGCTAAAGATGCTTGACGTGCGATCAAGGCCTCAAGAGGGAACAGGCTCTGGAGGAAAGGAGGCGACTCCGGACTGGAGAGTGGGCCTCACCCCGTTCTCTCAGGTGCTGGTGCAGGTCCCGGACCAGGCGGAAGGGAACCAGGCGTGCGGGACCCCGGGGGCGGTCGCCGCCCTTGTGCTTCTTCTCCACGGCGGCCTCCAGCTCCGCGCGCAGCTTGCGTGGAAGCTGCTCGGGCTCCAGCTCCCCGCCGGGGGCCAAGGCGCGCACCAGCCGCTCGCCGGCAATCAAGTAAGACGCCATTTCTGGCCCGCTCTACGGTCACGTGACCCCCCCCAGGCGGGACTTCCGCCAGCCGTGCGCCGGAAGGAGCTCGGAGCGGGCGGGGCGGCGCGGGGCGGGCCGAGGGCCAAAGGGGCGGGGCGCGGCGCGGCGCGGGGCAGTGTGGGGCGGGGGCGGGACGCCGCCCGGCCGCGGGTCGGGCCCTGTGTCAGCAGCACAGCAGACGCTCAGGGGGACATGGCGGGCTGTGTGGCCCGGCGGGTCCTGGCCGTGGGCAGCCGCTGGTGGTCCCGGTCGCTGACCGGGGCCCGGGGGCCAAGGCCGCTGTGTGCGGCGGGTGGACCTGGGGCCTTTCTACCAGCGGCGACCACGACGCGGAGGCACCTCTCGTCCCGGTGAGGGACCGGCCGCGGGGCAGGGGCCCGGCGCCGAGGGAGCGTGTTCCCGGCCGGGAAGGAGGCCCGGAGGTCCTGCCCCCCGAGGGTGTTTGGAGTTCGACCCGGGAGAGGGTCCCGGCCGGGAGCCGACCTGCGCCGCGTGGGATGTGTGCCAGGAGCAGAGAGGGGGACGCGGTCCAGAGCCTGGGGTTGTGCGGGGCTGGCCCTGGGGGGGAACTCGTAACCCAGAGTGGATCCTGCCACCCCGAGCGGGAATCTTCGCGAGCCGCTGTGAGCAGGCAGCCTTTTCATGAAGCCCTCGGGCTTTTGACTTCGAACTCCCGCGGAAAGATGCTCGAAGTTGAAAACAGGACTCTTGAGTCTGAGCCCCGCACGGGTCCCCGGTTGCAGTGTGACCTTGGGGAGACTGGGTCTCTGTGTGATTTGGGGAAGGGGGCTTGAGGTCGTGGGTGGGGATGGTGTGAACGTTGTCATAAGCAGCTTAAATTCGGGCCAGTGAATCAAGTTGGGAGGAAACATCATGTTCACATGTCAACAATGGTAAGAATAACGGTGCTTTAAAGAGCCCCCTAGAAGAAGCACCTGTCCAGAGAGGTCTCGGGGAGAACTGACCTTTTAATGGCTGAGCTGAGACACTTACATTGGGGAGAGATGATAACTGTTTGCATTTTCAGACCCCGGTGCAAATTGATGTAAATCGGAATGAAAACTAGATTTCAAGACCACTGGGTGCAGCGTAGGGAGTACAGCAGGAAATCTAGAGAGGATGAGTAAGCCCTCCCAGGGTAGGGCGAAGACTGCCGTTTAGAGGGGGGAGATGCACGTGGACGGAGAACAAATGTTGTTCGGGCTCCTGGTATTCATGAGGCTTTGAGGGGCAACACAAGCTAATCAGGCTCCCAGGGAACGTAGTTTCTAATGGAGATAAGACATGGATACAGATAACTGAAATGCAAGGTGGGAAGGACAGTTAAAGTGCTGAGGGAGGTCATGAGGGTAGCTCAGGGAAGAAAGGGAGGCGGGGAGCACAGCTGAACAGGGTATGAAGGCAAGATGTGAAGAATGCTGAGAATGATGAGAAGGAAGCGACCTGGGAGCTCAGGCCTAACCTGGACACCAAGGAGGGGCCTGTGGCCGGACCTGCAAGGAGGACAGGCAGCTCCGTGGAGTGGCGATTTGGCAGGACCTTACCTGTTTCAGCTGGCCCCACTGACCTGACCCTTCTCTGCCGTCGTTGCCGTGGCCCCTCGGTGTCCTAGTAGCTTTTTTTTTTTCTTCTGATGGATAAGCCCTATTACCTCCTCAGCTGCTCAGTGGCTTGTTCTGTTCCTTCCTAATCAGAAACCGACCAGAGGGCAAAGTTTTGGAGACAGTTGGTGTGTTTGAGGTGCCAAAACAGAATGGAAAATATGAGACTGGGCAGGTGAGTGCTGGGCTGGGTCATCTTCCATGTTCATGGTGTGCTCTGCTTCTGAAAGGGTCAGAGCTGGCCGTAGGGCTGCATGGTACCGTTTGCTGCCTTGGCGTTTGGTACCAGACCAGAATCACAAGTGTTTAAAGGTGGGTTTCTTGTTTTCCTGGATTTGAATGCATTTCATGTATCAGTGGGTTCTCTCTCTGAGTGAGTGTGGACAGAGATGGTTTGGACTATAGTGAGGAAGAGCCGAATGACTGAATAGTCCTCTAACGTAGTGGGTGCTGGGAAACCAGTGGAGGGAGCTTTCAGAAAAGCAAACCTGCCTGGGTGGAGTGGCTCAGGTGGTTGAGCGTCGTCCTGTGCACCCTGAGGTTCAGTTCCCGGTCAGGGCATGTTTCTGGGTTGCAGGTTCCATCCCCGGTTGGGATGCATATGGAGGGCAACCTTTTGAGGTTTCTCACATCGATGTTTCTTCTCTCTCTCTCTCTCTCTCTCTCTCTCTCTCTCTCTTTTCTCTCCCTCCCCCTCCCTTCCTCTCTCTAAGGATGTCCTCTAGTGAGGATTTAAAAAAACAGAAAAGAAAGCATACCTTTGGCGTTTTGTCATAATTGAGCTCTTCGCAGTGCAATAAGCTCTGGGTGTGAGGTTCTTTTTCTGTATCAGCTTTGTGCTAGATCCACTAAGATGGATTTAGGCTTCTTGTAGATAAGGATGAATTTTTGTTTATTGAACATTTGTTTTCTGTGCCTACAATGGACTGGGCATTGTGCATTGGCATTAAATCAGGAAACAATGCCTTTATGGCGTTGACAGTTTAGAAAGGAATTATGATATGCAAATGGTCAGTGGCTGTGCATTGTGCTACGTGGAGGTGGGGAAGGGGAAGCTAGGGAACACTTTCTAGAGGCCAACATTGTGGCCTAAAGGATGAGTAGAAGTCCGCCAGGTGAAGATGGGGTAAGAATGTTCCCTAGTGGGGTAGATCACAGAGTTCAAGGAAAAGGAGTGGCCAGACTAGCCGTGGGCAAACTACGACCCGCGGGCCGGATCCGGCTCGTTTGAAATGAATAAAACTATTGAAAAAAAAGACCGTACTCTGTTATGTAATGATGTTTACTTTGAATTTATATTAGTTCACACAAACACTCCATCCATGCTTTTGTTCCGGCCCTCCGGTCCAGTTTAAGAACCCATTGTGGCCCTCGAGTCAAAAAGTTTGCCCACCCCTGGGCCAGACCTTGTGCTGGAGTTGGCACACCTGTGTTGCTTTGTGGTCTGGGTCCCACCTGGATGGCCTTGCTGGATTACAGACTCACTGAGGCTTCTCTTTCCTCCCAGCTTTTCCTTCATAGTGTTTTTGGCTACCGTGGTGTTGTCCTATTTCCCTGGCAGGCCAGACTATATGACCGGGATGTGGCTTCTGCAGCTCCAGAAAAGTAAGTTGCCCTGCATTGTGCCTCACAGTGTTCTCAGGAGGGGGCCTGACTCATGGCAGACATAATTAGGATCCTAGGAGTGAAGATAGCATCCTCCTGGCCCTTAGAAGCAGCCCCACAATACTAATACCCATGGAGACAAACGTGCTGAGTGCGGGGATATCTGTAATACTTTCAACAATAAAGATTTTAAAAAAGAAGAAAAAGCGCTGAGTGCCAGGGACAGTCTTAAGTCAGAGGGTCCCTTTAGAGCTCCCCAGGATACTCATTCTCAGTTTGTATTATAATTACCACAGAAGGCATTGGGAGACTAGACTTCTTGATTTCTTGACGGGCAGTTAGAATCTTTCCGTTAATCTCTTATCACCATTAGAATACATTAATAAAGAAAAGGCTTGCCCGGCCAGTGTTGCTCAGTGGTTGAGCCTTGACCTATGAACCAGGAGATCCCCGGGAGGGTATACAGGCTTGATTCCCAGTAGGGGGCATGCAGGAGGCTGCACATCAGTGATTCTTTCTCATCATTGATGTTTCTTTCCCTCTCCCTTCCTCTCTAAAATCAATAAAAATATATTTAAAAGAAAAAAAGAAAAGTCCCAATCAAAAAAACAAAAAAGAAAAGGCCCAACTTCATTCAGTGATCATAGCCCTGGGATGTAAGAAGAGTGGGGTACTCTGGGCTCTAGGGACTGAAGCAGCAATTTGATTTTTTCAACATCTCTTTCTAAGAGGCAGCCAGAGAGTAGGGCAAATGATACTCCATGCCATGGTCCTCCACATTCCATTGTTTGCCCCTGACTGGGGAGTGGAGGGCTGCGTTTTGCTAAAACCTTCAGACCAGGTACCAGTCAGTTTAATTAATTAATTAATTAATTTATTTATTTATTCGAGGGGATTTTTATTTTATTTATCTTTTATTTTTACAACATAACCAAGTGGGATTTACTCCAGGGATACAAACTTGATACAATATTCACAAATCAATTAATGTGATACATCACATAAACAAAATGAAGGATAAAAATCACATGATCGCCGAAACCGGTTTGGCTCAGTGGACAGAGCGTCGGCCTGCGGACTGAAAGGTCCCGGGTTCGATTCCGGTCAAGGGCATGTACCTGGGTTGCGGGCACATCCCCAGTGGGAGATGTGCAGGATCGGTGTTTCTAACTCTCTATCTCTCTCCCTTCTTCTCTGTAAAAAATCAATAAAATATATTAAAAAAAAAAAATCACATGATCATGTCAATAGATGCAGAAAACAAAATCTAGCACCCAGCCCTGACCAGTGTGGCTCAATTGGTTGAACATAGTCCCGCAGGCACCAGACAGTTTAGATGAGGAGGGGCTGGAGTAGGGACCTGGGGCAGGCACTGATTCTATTTCTCTCTGGATGCTCTTCGGCTTCTCCTACCCTGTAGAGCAGAGAATCCTGCTGGCCACGGCTCTAAGGAGGTGAAAGGCAAAACTCACACTTACTATCAGGTGCTGATTGATGCCCGAGACTGTCCACATATAGTAAGTAAGCAAGAAGGCTGGACCTGGGGTTCTTTTCCATGGGAAAGGCCTGAATCCCATAGGGCACAAAGGGAGGGAGAGGACTCAGACAGCCCAGATCAACACTGGGTCCCAAGTCCTTAGGACTGGATAGTGACTAAGAAAGTCTGACTCGCTTCTTGCCTTAGTCTCAGAGATCTCAGACAGAAGCTGTGACTTTCTTGGCTAACCATGATGACAGCCGGGCCCTCTATGCCATCCCAGGTGAGTAGAGCATTTGAATGGTGCCTGTCAGTGAGGG